CGCTTTGCCGATCTTTGCCGTGTAGGTCTAAAACTATCCGTGACCCGACAGGACCTGGCCAGAATGATACGTAAGCTCTCTACAGGTACTGCAAGTCCATTCCTTGACATCTGGAATTAGATGCCGGGTCCAGCTGCCCGGAAACTCTCCTATACTATTGGCCTTGGGAGTTTCCCACTGTCGCTGCCATTTGTCCATCATGGTCTCGCAGGCCATGTTATCGTCGTTATTTACGTTTCTCAGATGACGTTCCGCTCTGTCCCTAACAAGCAGGTCCCATGTAACCAGCACTAGAAAAGCTTCGATTGACACAGTGCTGTACGCTTTTGCTACGCGTATTGCTGCTATTCTTTGAGTGGCTACAAATACGTCGCGGTTGGCTTTTGTTCTCAGCGCCGTATCTGCCCACACTGAGGCGGCGTAGAGCGCTGTAGCCTCCGCCTGTCGTGACACCTATTGGGGGTTGATTTGTAATACCTCGAAGAGTATCAACCGTTTTAATTATTGGTTTCGCTCTACTTTGTCTCCTCCGCCTGGTGTATGGTGGCTTCCCATTCTTCCTGGGCGGTTTCCTTTGCGCGTGGTTTCTTTTCGTTGGGTTTAGCTGCTGGCTTTGACTTATCCGTCATTGCTGATACAGTTGCCGAGGTCGTAGTTTTAGTCTCCTGTCTCACGCCGCAATCTTTTGGACCTTGCTTTTTTCTTTATAGCCTCGACCTATTCTTTCAACTTCGGGCAGGCCATCGAGTTGATCCAATGTCCTTCCATTTTGCACGTCAGGCATGTGGGATCACCTGGGTGCAGTTTTGTAACATATGTCCTTTAGTCTCGCACCTATAGCAAGTATTTTCTTAATTATGGGTAGCGATAATTCCTATTTTCCCAGCTCTCTTGGTGCTGTCATTACTTTTTCTTGCTTTTAATGCAGAGCTCAACCATCTTATCGCTTCCTAATGAGAGGAAGGTGTATTCCAGCAAATTGCGGGTTGTTTCTCTCGACATCTTTTCCGGGAAAACGACTGACACCGCCTTGACACACAAGTGGATCAACTTGTTCACAGCTGTTATGAGATCATCCACGACCAAGTTTTTGGGCATGTTGTCTGCCAAGTGTGGCATCTTAATAACGATTAAACATTTAGGAGTTGGATTACTCGCGTCCATTTGGGTCGTGCTTTCAATGTCCACGGTTACCTGCGACATGACTACTGTCACCTCTTCGGCTAAGAGATGCATCCAGACTTTCGCCAGCCCTGGTAACTGTGGTTTCAGACGTCGGAGTAGGGCCCGATCTTTTTCGTTTCCGTCTTCTAACAGCATAGGCCTGTCTGTCCGACTCGTTACGATAACGACTGTCGTTTCCTTTGTCGGTTTGAGTAGAGTCTCTAGCCAATCCTCCTTCATGCACTCGTTGAAGCTCTTCTGTAGCTAATAGTTTCCTTCTGAACTCTCTTGCCCTCTACTCTTTTTCGGAATGCTTGCCAATCGGCCTGAGTTCCCTGGCCTGACGTTTCTGTTTTCTGTATCACCTGTGGCCCCCCTTGTTTGCACCGTAGTAGTTCGACTTCAACTCTGAGTTAGGTCACTTAATTTATGCTTGATGTATCAACATTTGCTGTAGTGCTTTCTCTGCGTTCAAGCTCAGCGTTTTTGTTCAGCCCTTCTGTCCTGATTAGGGCTTTAACTACCTTAACTAGTTCCTTGACGTTGTCCTGTATATCGGACAACCTTGTATCTTTTACACAAGATATCAAGCGGTGTAATATGTTTTGACATCGTACCATAAACTCATCTAAGCTCTTTGATTCCAGCACAACTTCCTCGTTCGTTTCCTTTTTTCTTTTGTCCGATGGATTTATCGCACCCAAGTTATTTAATGAGACGACCTGAGTAGCCCGTGGTGGTCGATCCAGTCTGTCTTTTTGTGCAGCTTTATCGGCTATTTGTTTTGCCCTTGTTAACGTCCGTTCTGTCAGCGAAGACTTCGAGAATGGATACGTCTCTTCCACGCCACAATTATTCCGTTCCATATTTTTCGTTTATTTACTGTTACATTCTTCGTTTCGTTCCGGGATAGAAGCCCCGCCCGTCAATGGCACTGTAGTGTCAGCACTTTTCTTTATCGTGAATTCCAAGTCTTATGTTCTAGCCCGGCTTCTGGGCCACATATAAGGTGTTGGTCGTTCAAACAACAGCTTATTTTTGTGCTCGACCTGCTGCTAAGTGGGTTTCTCACGTGTAACCTCAGAAATGTTTCTTAGTACTGTTGCAGGGTCCCACCAGGTCGTCATCCGGTACTGCAACTGTATTCAGATCTTTTGTCAGATGATGGGGCAGCCAAATAGTGTTGACTCGGTGCTCGGCTCCCTGTACTATCTGCTAATTTGTCAGTGCTTCACAGTTTTAAAGAGCTACCCTCGCGCGTATCCCTTCATCGCGGTTGGTCACACTGCCTGCAGCCTCCCTGATCTACGGTTATCTGCCCTTGCTTTCCTGCTCTTCACGCCGTTGAAACCGCTCATGCTTGGCTTCCGTCTGTTGCAAGAGCCCTCAAGGGCCTGCCGTTCCTGGCTTACGCCGGAGTCAGGGAACGATGAGAGTTCCCCTGAAAGCTGGCTTTGGTTCGCGCCCGGTATTATTTACCGGAACTGATCATATCTGGTAAGCGTTCCCCTGTCCCCCACCTAAGGAAGCGCCCGGTAGGGGTAAGCAACCCCTGCCCGTTATGTCTTTGAGACATTCCTGCCTCATTCGCCGGTGGGGGTCCTCCAAAAACCTAACCTAACTTTACCACCTAATCACTTCATTAGTTTCCCAAACATTTTTACCGATACACTCTGATCCTCCTGTGCATATCCTGTGCAACAGCTGCGAATAGTCCCCTTAATAGACTCTCTATCGCACAAGCTTATATATGTACATATATAAACTTGATACGCATCACTTTGATTGATGACCTTCTTCTATATTTCTTGTAACATCACAAAATAATCACCTTAGAATTTCTAGAGTCTTCGAGTAGAAAATTGTACCAAGTGATTTTTGCATCTCACCATTAAAACTGAATTAACACGATTGAGAGATTGAAACAAATTATACTCTGATAACGTAAAATCGGAGCTATACGGAGGATGCATTAAAATTTTCTATCCAAATTTGCTTAATTTTAATTTGGTCGATTGCTAAAGATGTGTGTGGCCTAACATTGGCACGATGGATTATTTTATTTGTATTTTATGGTCGTATGCAGACCACATTTCATTTGTTATCAACCGCTTCAGAAACGGCCGGATATGGTTGCATTTTTTGCGGATGGAAATATAATTGAGTATATTATTTTAGGTTATTGTTATATGTCAAACGGTATCTATAAGGAAAGGATGACTAAAAGCGAATAACAACAAGGTTTCTAATAATAATGAACTTGCTAAGAAAAAAACAGTAAGAACCCAGAATTCAAACAGCAATTTATTGTAGCCGATCACATTCGCGGCCATTTAATTCAAAGATACTATCTAATAATGTTCAATCTATCATGGTCCACACTCACAATCTCCAGTGCAAAGATAGATGGCGTCCCTTCATTCATGCAGAGTCTCGGTTTACACAATGTAATAGTCGATACAAGTGTTCTACGCACCACGTTCTACACCCCTATGCCTTGGTCAATCTGCTTTGTATTGGTTGCGACGTTTATACAAAGGTACCACGAGACAATCCTTGATATATCATCAAGATGTAGCATAACAACACAGTTCTAGATATACGGCCTAAACGCAGCACCGACGTATGGCTATAGCAATGGCAACGATGTTGTATAACAATCAAACACTCCAATTCCCTTTCGAGGTGCTCCATGTGCTGGTCGAATCGACTGCCCGATACGTATTTAACAACAAACTTACCCCTTAACGAGCAAACTATACAAGACACTATTTACAATTTGTCGGGTAACAAAATTAAATCACAGTAATAATGAGAACGCGACACATGACACACTTCAAGCGAGACAACAAATCACAGACAGTAATTTCACAGTATTGGAGACTCTGTGCGGTGGTCAACACCACGACTAAGCAGGTGGCTCTCGAGCATCAGTACTCTGCAACGATGTGCATCCCACTCGCATCCGCGTCTAACGACAACTAAATAATCGGAATTGTTTTTGTGAACAGCGCACACATCGTCCGCCAGACGATAGACGATGACCCACAGATGCACGCGCTGTCTGTGCTATGTGCCATCAACGCGCATCATACACAAAAGCATAAGAGTGATGTGATAGTTTTACGAATATACTAATGATGAGCAAAGTAAACATGAGGATAAAAAGAGGAGAAAGCTATATACTAACAGGTAGACAGCAAAGCGACAAACGATTGTTCCATAATAGGAGAAACGCTACTCTTAACATATATATATATATAGTCACAAATCAACCCATCTAAAAATTTCACATTGTCGGGTTTGACCAGAGATATCTCCGTAGTTAACCTAGCTGTCTATATGCAGTTTTTTTTTGTTATAAGAACTGCCTTCTTCTGCCTTCTAATTATAACACATCCAACGGCTCGATCGCTATGCGAGCATTTTCGAACTGTTGTAGAAGAAACTGTTTGAGCTATTACGTAGAATTCAAATATCCAATTTCACCTCCTGTCGTTCATGGAGAAACATAGCTAACCGAAGACGTAGTACAGCCATGATCGTTACTTCTATCTATTGGATGGCAGTGGCGTATTTGCAACTACCAAATATTTTGAGGTGGATTTTAGTGATTCTGGCGTTTTTTTGACTACATATAAACTTGTAATGTAAAAGAATTATAAGCAGCAGATTCTAATACGCTGCTACGTAGTAAATATCACGATAAAATATATTATACATTGCGTTGAGTTTATTGTTTCGATTCTATACGCTTTAATTGCCTTTTTCACAATATAGCATTCTAAAAGGTTTCGCGACGTAATACTGTCTATGGTTTCTTGTCACTGCCAAAAGGAAGAAAACGCATGCGTTAAGTGGACGAATAAAATTAATCTATGAATTTTGATTTATAATAAGGACCATACTTCTTAATACATTTCAAGCAATTTTAATATCTTATAATAAAGTTCACAAGAATCATGCTCATGTTGATGGTCTTCACATCTTGTGGTCACCCAGCCTTCACTTTTCTCCAGGCCTTTTAATATCCATCCATAGTATGCCGACACACGAACAAAAACACCACCGTATTTAGTTAGACACTTTGTCGAGCTGCGCCCTTTCACGTAAGACGTTATTCCAATAACGTACATCTTGTACGTTGACGGAGAGCGATGCATGAGCGGTCCACCAGAATCACCCTAATTGTAATCGAGCGCATAATATAAGCTGTAGTTGTCATTTTGCTAAAAAAAGAGAGACGATTTATGCTATATATATATATATATATATATATATAATTAATAACTTTTTAAGGTTTCTAAAGAACTCACCCCACAAGGCCCATGGTAACCTCGCTTGGCGCAGATCTGATATTCAGGATTAAATTCTCCATAACGAGCCCACTGAATAGAGCAGCGATAATCGCTCTGTACTCGAAGATCAACGTATTGCAAAACCTGCGGAAACTCTGAAAAGCAGGACATAACGTAAGCCACCTATCTTACAATTACTTTTATTATATAGTGATGAGTAAAGGTAAATATTTTATTACTTGGTTTTTGGGTTTTGCCGGATTTTTTATACCCAGCGACCCCATGGCCAGCTACAATTGCAGTTTCCCAGGCATAATCTCCCATCCAAGGGTAAGGTAAACAAACTGGACGTAGGGTGGGCCCATAGCGCACCGGTTCCGACAAAATAAGGAGAGCGATATCACGAACGAGACCTTCATGAATGTAGCCGCCGTGCCTGTTGAAAAAGAATTTATAAGTTGCTTCGAACGGCGGCTCGGAGGGCCGAGTACAAAAGGTCTAAAAACTCTGACGAACTCGGGTTTGATATTGTAACTCAGATACACTTCTATAAACTAAAAATTGCTTGACCTAATGTGTACTTAATAAGGAGATCGTATTCATTTTTCAATATCTAAAAAACCGTTATCATCGTTTCAGCTTACATTCGAATGGCTTCGACGGTTCTTTTAACAGTCTGATGCGACCGCAGATGAGGATTAGCAGAACCCATCAACACGATGATGCCACCTACGTAGTCCTTACTGAAAGAGCCCAAATAGTTCCCGTAGTAAAATTCCTAGGATGACCATTTATCGAACTGTCCCGTATACTTTTAGCTGCAAGTTGTAGGCCTATGCAACTAGCATACCATAAGCCACACTTGCCTACTACGTTTTTTACTAACCCATAAACGCAATGAGCGGCTGTAAGAACGTGTCGATCCGAAATAAGACTGCCTGTACAAAGACCGAGCTTGCCACGTTCGTCAACGCGGTAGAGTTTAACCGCCCAGGGAAACAGATGGTCGTCCGCAGAGCTGCCATTGAGTACTCGCTTTGTAATCGCACTGCGACCATCTACACCGCAATTTGCTATAGTGCAATACAGAATAGGTTCTCTTAGATAATACGTAAATCCACTGATAAGCTCTCTAAAAGTATAAGATGACTTTCGAAACAAAAATTCGCACCCGTACACTTATTAATACTAATTTTAATCTGTTTAAACATATAAATTACTTGTTTTAGTAAAAAGAAGCGATAAACTCATAGACGATTGAACGGTTCTTATTATACATGCTCATTCTGCATCCATCGGCACTTTTTCCGTAAGATATATACGAGACACGAGAGATTCGATACACACAGTTTCTCGCATTTTATTAAAAGTTCATAGTTCATACCGTCGTTAAGCGCAGCATTTTGAGGGTACGCCGGTTGTTCTTGCTCCTCATCGGATACTTCATTATAGTAATCACTATAGATATCGTGCCTACTAAGTAAAATAGGCTTACATACAGCACCGGATGTATTTACACAAACACACCAGCAAAGCGTCAATAGAGTGGAAATTGTTGCCGACCGTATCGGTACCGAACCAAGCACCATATCAATAAGCCTGCTTTTGGTAGATATTACCATAAAAACGTGTTCTTGAACGGCCACACAATCATATATAAGACTACAGATTTCGATTCACTTGAGTGAAATATGTTAAGCATACGTGCAAGGACGCCGGGTTAGAGTTTATATGATGCTATTTAGATGTATACTGCATTAACATCGTGAAACACACTACGCATAGCTCGTTTCAACAACAGGATGTCACATTATTCGGAAAACAACTTAAACGTCTGCGAGTGTCCTCCAACTGTCATTTCCTACAGACCAGTTTAGCTAAATTATACACGAAACCTTATTAGGAGCGAATTACCTTCCTTTGTAAAAAAAAACTATATGGCCTGTCCGCAGTACATTGCGCTCTGTACTAAAAAATCCATCACATAGCTTGCGATATAAGTACGCAACTCATTAGCAAAAAATATTAAAGAGAACCATATGTAGTGGTCAACAACCTAACTATCTTCCTCCTGAACAGCAGTAAGTTGCTAATAGACAAGCAGTAAGAAAGACGTTGGTAATCTTTTACCGTCAAACTGACTAAGCGTGACAGACTGCTACTTTCTGCAACGCTGCTGAAGAAAGTGACATAGTGAATTGAGCGCGGGTAAACACAAAAACATAGGCGCGTTCATCGAGTAAAAATAAGCTTTGGGTAGTCAAGCTGTACCATGAGTTTGCAAAACTTTCCACCTGGGCGAGAGTCTGCCGCCTTCTCATAGAATATAACTAGATTTCAATGGAAGAATTCAATGAAAAACCAGTTTCCGAACATGTCCAGCATTGGTTCCTTACAATTAAACAAAATGCTCTACAATTCTAACCATGAGCAGTTGCCCGAGCCGAGCACTCTGATCTGCTAGATCACACCGAATTAGTCAATTTATCCCTGTTGGTCTAAAAGTCGTATGTTCATGAGGTATCCAGCCTTAGCCAACAAGTGCTGTCGTAGTCAAGCTCAGATTGAGTTACAGCATATCCGGAGTTATTAACGAAACGACTCTTAGCGTACATTACTAATATTTTTCTAGATCATCTTTTTGAAAGGCTAAGGTAGTGTTTCAACATAGTGCACACTACAAACTTGCTCAAGATTTTTAGACTTCGTAAACATTCGAAATAGCGTATTCGGCAGTTGAAAAACGATAACGGGGTTGAAAGCTAAATGATATGTTTCTACAAAGGGTTGTTCATAAACGTCATCATAAATAAATCAAATGATGTTATTTGTGCTATTGGAATATTGATAATCTATTGATAATATGTTTCCGTAGTGAATTTCACCTGATTAGATCTAAACAGCACTATAAACGGCATCACTGATAACCCACTGGTTAGCAGAGCATTTCACGAAAACAGGTCACGGTCACATACGAACAAGCGTAAGGGATTCCAAAACAGCTTATGTTCATTTGCGTCATTTAGCTCAGTCTAATAGGCTAATTGCATATGTATGGTGAAGTTAAAAAACACATTAAATATTGAAAAGCTCGCTTCGATTCAACGACAAAAAGTTAACCCAATCAATCAAGGCTCTTTTCTATACCTTCGTACGTTAAAAAATAGGTCTTTCTTTGTTCAAGTGAAAACATCCTATTAAACTTGAAAATATAGGTGTCAAGCATTTGGAAGATGTATACAAACCTGAGACAGATAAAAATGAGCCATGCGTACTTTTCATAAATAAGACAGTCAGTTGGCGAAGAGAGGCGGTGCAAATACAAAGCCTTAATCCGTTATATGTGTTGTCTGTCGCTCCGGGTTCGCGAGAAGCACGGATTAAGATTATAAAACTTTGAAAATTCTTATTCAATTACGTATGAAGGGTCATTTAAAGAATACGTAATTCTCATGTCGTGCCTTGGCTGCCCTAGTGGCTATATATACATGCAACGTATTAGCGAAACTAAATTGCACTATATAAAACAAACAAACTTTCTTGATTAACTGATTTCGCTTTTTTGTGTTAGTCAGACTAAACTGTTAAATTCAAAATTTGTATAGGAGCTTATATAGAAATCAGAAACGAAGCTGTCTACTTTATGGAACAACGCGGTTAATCCAGAAGGAAAAAGGTTATTTTGTCTCAGTCCATATAAACTAACTTTGCCCCTTTCTTTACTACCTTCCCCAACTTTACACAAGTTGCGAACCTTCCATTAGCTTTCTTACGTAAAGGGAAGGGTGAGCATGCGAATCTATCAAAATACGGCAATTTCAACATTTCACAGGACAACAAGAGATTCTTGAGGTAAAAAGCGCGACGCTTTGTAATAACCAATCATCATCGATTGAAGAAAAAACACGACTTCTGAAAACTAATCCTAAAAAGTAAACGAATTCCATACGAAACGTAAGAAGTTGAAGATGCTAATAGATGACGAGTACATGACAAAATGATATAGCATTATAAACCAAAAATAATTATAAGAAATAAAAACCTTCATTTCATTACATTTTTTTATAATCCATTCACACTTTATACTCACGAAATCGGTTTACTTTGTTGCGTCTTAACATGTTTAGATTTATCGTTTTTTGGTCTAAAATATTTTTTATTTTTAATATATTATTTTCAATAAAATGTCGGAATAACCTTAGGACCATAACTTGTGAAACGATTTTTATCGCCAGGCAATACTCATCTAAAGCAATTGTGAACAACTCGAGCATTAGTACCGGGAAAAGGCAGCAATAACCAAAAAAATACAACGAGCACTTTCCTCGGCATTTATATGTTACATGCAATTTTTAAAAATAAAAATCCTATTTCAGAGAATCTGAAACATATCGCTCAAAAAATAACATAAGCTGTTGTTAATTAAGTGTTTTTAAATAAAATATTATTGCTTATTTTTATTCTAAAAGCTATTTAAAGAACCGTACTACGATCGGCATTTTTACCATATTGCTACTTCTGCTGACCTCAGCTAAAATTTATGATTATTTTGTCGTAGGAAAGATATACATATATACATAAAAGACAACTGTACTATTGTCGTTTGAATATTTCACGTAACTTTAGTTGCGATACATATATGGTAAGTGTTACAGGCTAATAGAACTATTAAGAATAGCTCCAAAACACCTTTTCCCTTTAGGTATATCTAATCAAGTAATATCATTTAATAAGGTTGAATGATTCTGAATGTTATAAAAGCATGCTTTAGAAAGTAGCATATCTTCACCTAGATCTGGCCGCCCAAATACATACTTGATATATTAATATTTACTTTTAAGTAACTCACCGTTTTTTCTGAACATTTTTATAGAATGGCTTATATAATGTTATGCATGCAGTGTTGCACCACCTAATACAAGTCGCCTACAGTATATTAGAGTTTTTTATTTTTTTTATTTAGATTTTTATTATTTACCAAACAGACGATGTCAATAGATCTCATTATCATTATTATTATTATTAAGAATAGAAGTATTCAGAGGTCGCTGCTTTGAGCCACGCAAGCGATATATGCTACAGGATAAGTGATATTGACTAAAGGAATAAAAATATACTATTATTAAGTTACCGAAAGAGCAATAGGTCATTGGTTCACTGCTAACCTGCATAAACATATGTCGCCTAATTATTTCGGAAATAACATTAACCAAAAACCACGAATCTCATTGTTATGATGAAGTAAGGTCTCAATCGAAACAGCATAGCTGCCAAATTAATGTAAAGCATTATCATTATTCTCTAAAAAATTTTAGTGTGTATTATCTTCTGAAACTTGCGAAACCTTAATAAAGCCTGGTTATGTGGGTTAGGGCGCTTTTTCAACTACGTTGGCTCAAGCCCTTTACTTATTTATTTCTTACGTCTACTTGATTATTCCCGCTTTACGAAGGTGACCTCTAATGTGAAAAATCTCACGGCGCTGGTAGAACATCCTCATGCCAGCTTTGTAGGCGTGTACATTGTAATGATATACATGCTCCATAGAGTGAAAGCACCGAACAAGACAAAACGCTCCTTTCCCTCTGTTCGCTTTCCACCTTGCGTGACCATATCGACTTGTTTGTCTGTCCAGGAAACAGTCAATCTTTTGACACGTCGCGAGAAAGAGCAAAGGTAAACAGCGATGCTGCTCATTGCCGCCTTCTTGATTATAAGAAGTCTTAGCTGTGCGGACAGTAAGTACCGTGTGTCGTAAGAACAACACATCGGAAATAACTTCACGATATTATGAGTTTATACCATGCCCAACACATATTAGAAAATTACATTTCATTGTTATAGGTCACTCGGTGGCGACAGGGGCCCCGAGGACGTCCGAACTCAATATTGAACGACTATCTAGCATCGTCAACGAACTTCTAAATTCAACTACAGATGATCTCGATCCATCACTTATTTTGCAAAATTTTGTCAAGCATCCACTTCTCATCAGCAATTTCACTGTTCCTGTTGCAAGCGTTCAAATACAATGCTTTGGAGTACTTGTTCACGGGCTTAATACAGTACAGATTCATGAGGTATGTACGCGCACGCAAGAGTCAATTAACTGGTTCTGTTATCGAGTTCATCGAGCGATTACCAAGTATGAACGGCGAACTTCCCAACTCAAGAAAAATTACCTCGACCCGTGACTTATTTTCCAAAACTTTTCAGCAATTTACTGTTCATTAGCAACTTTACTGTGCCTATCATAAACGTTAAATGGGCAACGCCTTGCAGAACTTGGTGAAGGGCTCAGCAAAGCATATGTTAACGAGGTATGCAGGTGCACGTAAAAAGTTTACTGATTGGCTTTCAATCTAATCAGACTATACTGTTTTCTTTCATCCAGGCAATGGCGAATATCTCTGGTCAATTTTTAACCTTTTCCCTCTTAGTCCCATTTGTGCAGCTAACTGGACAGCAGCGCACATCTGGGTACGTGTCATTTGTTCCTGTTGACACTGGCGGAAATCTCCAATTAAATGTGACGGATGTTGCCATCACAGGTAACGCTTCTCTGAAGAATTCGCCACAAAGTTTACACGTGGGAGCTATACATGCACAGTTGGAGGTGAGCACCTGTTAAGCATTGAATAACAACATGCCTACCCTGCTTTCATAGATATAGTCTTTAATGAGCGTTCACTCCATCCCTCATCAGGTTGGCGATGTATCTCTTGGCATGGACGGGTTATCTGAGCTGACAGCAAGTCTGTTCAATTTTGTTGGTAAAGAAATCTTTGACTATACAAAGCATTCGATGCTCGATGATTTTCAGCAGGCTATGACCAGGTATGCGCCAAAGGTAATAAAGCACTATTTTTTTAAAATTAATTATTCAATTTTTATTAAGTATTTTAATAATTTCATAATAACTCATCATTATAATTTTAAATTGCAAAAAACTAATGAAGGCAGTCTGTTATACTAATTTTAGATATGCAAATGAAGAGATCCTCGGTAAAATTCCTGTAAATCTATCAAGATTCGAACATGACAAGCAACTCATCGACTCGATTGTGGCACAAACCTGCTATATGCTTGTGGCTAGAAGCCATGATCCTCAAAAGGTATAATGTTAAAAAAATTACATTGAGTTAGGTTTAATCAAATATCAAGCAAAAAAGGTCTTTATTAAGGAAACTATTTGAATTTGTCGACGTTAGCGCTTATTGTGTTCACATACAAAATCGTCGTTCTGGACTAAAAAATAATGTTATATGTAAGCAGCACCAAATTCAACTTCATATTACGAGACAGACACGTCAGAGCTTACCTGGCAAACGAGGTAAAATCGTAATTTTTTGAGTTCGGTAAGTGATGAATAGGTCCAGACACCTCTTTATATAACTGCCTTGTGCACCTGTTGACTGGTACTTCTTTATCCATAGAAAAGATTTCGAAGCCAGTCTACAAAAAAGTAAAGACAGTGGCAGAAAATTAGACTTGCCGACAAAGGCGATGAAATCAGTTCTTAGTGTGAGGAAAATTGAGTTATTTTATAGGCAGTTTTTACTTGTTTTCATATTGTATACTTCAGCAGGCTTAAGATTCTTATGAAATTAGTGATGCCTGTATCTCTGTATACTGTAGTTTTGATACAAATAGTATTACGATTACCTCATTAATAGAACTGGCACAATGATTTTAAGATATTGCCCATATTATATTGTCTATTATTGAGTGAATATCTGACATAACGGAATGTAATTATATAGAGACAGATGATAAAGTCCGATTACTTTTAGCAAACACGTAATATTGGGACTTAATAATTCTAGTTAAAACCATACCAGGCATCTGTGGACCGTATGTTTATACAAGGGGAAGTGCTCGTCACCAACGCCACCTTATCAGGCCTGGCAACTCTCCGTCGCACAGGAGATGTCCTTGTACTCTATTCAAACCGTACGCTGATCTTAGAGGCGAATTTTGGTTTCGCTAACCTCAGCAGTAAGTTCACAATTTTTTAAAAGCATCGGGACGTAATATCCATCGATTACAGAGTATTATTGTTATTATACCATACCGAATCTCTCACATAGTGCATAACGTGCACTATGTGAAAGTTTTAAGATGGCCTTTGTTTTGAAGATTTAAAGACGGCTGATCCTTTTGCAGCTACATTTGCATGGACAACAAAATTACTTGGTATCGGACCAAAGGGATTCGCCGAACTTACAGTTAGTGATACCAATATGAATATGAGGTAAGTGTAGCCAACTGGTTTGTTTCGTTTTTCGGCTAAAAACTTTTTGCGTTCATTCATTGGGCATCATTAAGTTAAATCTTTGGCGTTGCTTTCTAATTAGTTTCACGTTCCACGCAGGCTCCTTTTACCCTTGCGTCGTGATGCTAAGCTGCAGGTAGATCATGTTGAATTTTCACGCATCGGTCACGTGGTCGCCGATATCCAGGTAAGCTTTACGCTAAGCGTGGAAGACGGTGCTTTGCATTCAGGAAACAATTTGTCAGTTTTTATATTGATATTGTTGTGAATGCACTACCATTCTAATCATTGTGATATTGACAGGGTCTCGGAACAGGAGATGCAGTGGGCGAGATCGTGCTCAATCTCGTATCAAATACCTTTAAATATGACCTCGCACATTTCATTATGAGTATAGCCCGCGAACGCATACAAGATGAGATCAACGGCATCGACATTTCTCAACTCTCTCAGAAAATTAATGAATAATGGATTAAACCTGCGAACACTTAGTGTCTCATTTAGGACTGATCATAATTTTTCAGATCTATGTTAACATAATTGCACAACATTCTGCAGCAATAGCCCATGCAAAATGTCGTAGGGTAGCTTAAATGCATAGAGAAAACATAAGTCTCTTTAACTGTGAATTAAGGGTCAGGACCTCCATTTTATGCAGAAATAGTGAAAAAATGATCATAAAAAGTAACATTTTTTACCGGAAAATTGACACAGAAGTGAAACAACCTGATAACATTTTTTAGAGGATTTAAGTAGATTATCTTATTTCTGAATAAACCTGCGCAGTCACATATTTTAGTTCAGTTTTTTTCAATTGAATTTACCTTTATCGATACAAAGGCTAGACATGCGCAATAATCGGTAAATATTCTTACTACGCACAGCATCACACACATATATAGTGTTCTAAAATATAGTAGTTTAATTTGCTAAATTCTACTAACACGTGCCAGATAAAAAGGATATTCGCTTGGCTAGTTCGAACAGTCCCTGAAACTCAAACCGCCACTTGACACTATATTAAGCAACTAATTTATACAGGGTGTCTCAGCTTGTTTTCTATGAATACTTATCCTTTTGTCACTTGCTTTAAAAAGCTCACTTATACGCCGTCCAATGTTTTAATGTCTTTTTGTACGGCCGCCATGCTTATGCGAAAATATTCGCCCTTTTTCAATAAAACCGTTAAAAAATTAGGCTTATCCTTATAACAACGGATTTCACAATACTGGTTATACGTTAATTAAAATCAAAATCCACTCACGTTTCAACTACCAGGTTATTTATTGATATAATTCATTGTAAGTATTGTGGGAATTAGTAAGTGACTGTCGAGTTCACGCCCCGCGGGTAGATGCTTCTGGTGAAAAAAGTATATTTTTGACACCTAGTTGGCCTTAAAAAAGATCGCATCTTGCACTCACCGTGCGGATCTCGCACTTACAAATTATAACCTTCTTATTACTACAAGGAAAATCAACAGTACATTAGACAATGAAGAAAATCTTAAAGGCTAGCTGGATGAATTCCTCAATACCACATATGACTATCATTGACAAAACAGAACAGATAAGTCAGTATTGTTATCATTTGTATCGCTGAGTTTACCGTAGCCGCGAGCAAGTACAAACGAGAGACACTCTTCAAAGTACTAATACCAATATCACTTTATCGTTATGAAAATTGTATACAACAATATCGACCAAACCCTACCACTAATACTAAATCAACTGAAAGCTAATATTATATCCTCCCGATTCCTGGTGTCAGTGGACAATAGGATCCTTTTAGAACAAGATTATCAGAAGATTCCTTCTAATTATATGAGCGAAGATGAGCTATCGGCCAAAGTCTTTGTGCTGGATGAACCCCTACTGAAATTATGAAGTGCTTTTATTATCTAAAATTAACCGTTTATTGTATTTAGATGAGTCTACTTTTGTTGGGAAGATAGAACGAGATTTTCACACACCACAATGGGAGAAGCATGACAGGAAACCCACCCATAAACTAGAACAAATTAATTTCCTCTTGTTTCACACATAAGTAGATCATGCATCTTTGACAATTTTGACCTTGCGCTACACGTCTATTTGTCTAGATTTGACCCACGGTAAATGGAACGGCACGGATCCTTTACGAGAAGCTTAGATAAATGCCTTATGCCATCAAAGCAGAAGCTCTCTTAGGACGATAAAGCGAAGAGGCTTTGTGGGTGTCATTTGCTCTCGAGTTTCCGTAAGTACGAAACAGTAGACCGTCTTTGATACAGCAGTGAAAAGAAACTTGAATGCGGAAATCAATACGCAGAAACTTCCACTGGTTTGCTCATGACCCAGGAGGTGTCTATACCATGGGTAACTGTATGTTTGCGAAGAGCTTTTTTTATTAGTTTATTTGCGCACGTGAAACTTACTTTTTTTAATAGTAATTCTAATGTGCACTTTTTTGCTTTATTCGCTTGTTTCATTTAGATGCAGCTTATAGGCCAGCGACATCAAGTGTGTCTGGATTCATTTTGTACATATATATCAACTTTTTCAAATATTTGCTTCATAACTAGGTCGCCTATGCAGGCGAAATTATATTTACAAAAATTAGCAGAGGATACTCTTTTATAACGATCTTGAAAACGCTAGATTTTTTTTTACAACAACTGTCGTTTAGAGGTTCAGAGTTTACAACTAATTGTACATTACTTTTTAGGCATGCTGCGGCCTCCACCTGACTGGGCCAGCAAAGAAATCCGACTGCCACATGCGGGCATACGGAAACCTCACATCATTTATGCACAACCTAGAAGGAAGTAAAGTAACCGTCTGCCGCGGAAGCTATTGTCGGACGTTTTTTTTTAAACTAAACTACTCATCGTTCTCGTTACAGAAAGATGTTGAAAGACTTCTTACGCCCGAAACTGGATGGGTCTTATTTACAATACGTGGTTTTGACAAAACTGTGCCGAAATTCACGGAAAGCATTCACTAATACCGCACTGCTCATGCGACGCCACATTACAACAGTTCTTCATATCGATTTTTTCAAATAGTAAAATGGAGCTAGATTTTTTAGAATTGGTGAACTTCATCCAAGTGACGTAAGGTTTTGATACAGAGGCAAACATTATTGTTTCTAGTGTGACTTTTATATTGTAAAAATTCGATAAACTGGTATTATTTATCACACATAGAAATTGCATTAAAGTGCACAAAGGAAAAGATATTATGTATATATACATTCTGAATAATTCAGTGTCGAAACCATGTTAAATAACACCAGTGGAGTTCGTATGAGCACTGCAATGAAAACGGAGTTGGCAAAAATTCTTGTTTATACTTGAAAACTTGTCTTCCAATAATGTTTGAGAATTTATAAAGAACTATGAACATTGTAATGTTGATGAAACATAATCATGTAAATGTTACATAGCTTTAGATCTATGCGATGACTACAAAATAGATATTGGAACAATATTTCAACTTACTGCCATTAAAATGGAATATGGTATTTTCTCAGAAAAAAACGTCAATGATTTAAAAATACAGATTTTCTCACATTTCGTATTTACTTGGTTTTTCGAGTGGAAAGAAAATTGCATTCAGTTTTGAAAGGCAAGGTTAGTTTCACCATGAGATCTCAGAATCACCGTAATAGGGTAACATAATTGTTTTAATGAAGCGACGGATTAACACTATTATAGCGGCGGGTCAATTTCGGCGGTAGGACGGCTAATCGATAGGAGAAACAGAACTGTAAAAACTAACGAAGATAACGCAACTGATCAATCGAACCGCTACGCTAAACTAAGCCGACTGAGATTGAACTATCTAAAACTCAGCCCAAGTTTGATTGAAGCTATATAGTATTTACTTCACTCTACTACATATGTGCAGAACGAGGAACGTGGAAGAAAATAATGAATATGAGTTTTAAATAGCCATTAAAAGCGTACTAATGTGTGGTTTAAAGGCTGTCACCTCAGCCATGCAATGACAAATGCCACTCGTCCTAATATTACTAAATAATCCTACACGCAAAAAACAACGATTTCATAAACATATATATCCACAACACAGCGTTTATTACATATCCTCAGTTAACACACATACATTACGCATCAGTTTAATTGTACAGAATTTCATGTTCATTACCGTACAATAGAGTGTGATAGTAATATTCACTGTCATTTCTTTACTTTGTATACTCTATTTACATTTTGAGAGAATAATCAACAGTAGACTTAGCTATAAAAGCCTTCAGCAACATCATAATGATCCTAAAAAGCATGAGAGGATTCTAAAGGATTTAAACCCCATTATAATCTAGGGCTCTGTATATAATCGAACAGTTAGGCACACATTAGCCTATGCCCTGTCGCTCAAGCGAACATTAGTTTTTCTCCCTTCTTTTAATTTTTCTTAAACTTCCTAATTTATTTACCTAAAAATAAAGAAGCATGGAAAGACGCAGCCTCTGTTGTGTGATGATGACAATCTATCGGGAGGCCGCGGTTGTAGTCGTGATGACGTGCGAAGGTGTTCTGCTCTGTCCTTCGGGAAATTGTCGAATGACGGTTGCCCATTCTCCGGTGGCATAATTCATTTCAAAATGAGTCTGCACGAGCATTGCGCGCAGCGATCCGTCAGCCTGCTGAACCACCTGCCTATCTTCATTCAGCACAATTGTAATCACGTCACCTAAAGTAGGACAGGGATTTTCTGAAAAATAACAAAGATCGGAAACAAAGATTAATTATCATTTAGTCGTAAAGTGATTGTATCAAAAATTATATTTTCTTTGATAAGAAGGCATGATTAGGTTCTCATTGCGTTTACGCCTAGAGCTTCGTAATAATAAGGGAGTCGCAGAACTTCTCTATCTTCCAAATGTATCTCATAAATAAATATGCAAACAAATAACACTTGTAGTAAACTTTGACAGGGATAAGAACTAGCAACTAGCAATATATCATATGCATTAAAAAATTTGCCGAATAGTTAACAAGTTTCTATACTTTGTAAAACATTAAGCAGTGCTCACGTCGATTTCCTGCGATAAACCCAAGAATAAGTGCTTTCTCGGATCGTGTCACCTTGTTTGAATTTTTGAACATTTCCTGAGCCTCATTAAACTGAGTTTGCTGTAAGCAAAACAAGAATTTTTTTTAGTTACATTGCGTGAACTACTCATTGAACTGTTACATAAACGTATAGAAAACATGTTTTGATCAATTGAAAACATCATTGTATTTATAAATACAAACAGAAATTTTAGTATTTGGCACTTAACGTACTGATATTGAATATGGTACTATTGTGGCCTGTTGTGTTGTTTGCTGTTGAACAACGGTAGGGGTGCGAATAACGAGACGTTGTTGCTGCACGCGTGAGCCATTTGACTGCTGCTGAGCTTGCTGTTGTACTCCTGGCTGTGTCGTCTGAACCAGTTGCTGTGTTGTTTGTTGCAAGCCAGTTGTTACCTGCTGTTGCTGGAGATGGCCAACACCCACGCCCAACTGTTGCAACTGTTGCACGCCAACATGCAGCTGTTGTACATTGCCAGTTTGCACAAGTTGAGGGCCCTGCACGGCTTGTCTAATCACATACTGCGTACCGTTAGCACCTTGTACCAGCTGTCCAGTAGTACTGGCCGCTGTTGTCGTACCTCCAGCTGTCGCTTGGTTTACAACGACGTGACTTTGGCCATACCCACCGGTTGAGATGAAACTGAGAGGTCACACGGAATGTTAACATTTCGTATTATGTGAATAATAGAAAAAAGGCAGTTTGGTCAGGTTATGCCGTCTACGACAAAAATGCTTTTTAAGATCCGAATACAGACAAGAGGTAGACAGTAAGATATCTGAAACAGTAGGTACCACATTTAAGACCCGTGGTTCGTAACCATACCTTGCTGAGTTTGTGTTGGCAATTTGTTGGGTGGTAATCCTTTGTTGGATGACAGGAGAGGTATGTACGCTTTGTAATGCTCCAGACGCCGTTTGCACATAGGTGACTTGCTGGCCACTAAGTTGCTGCCCCACCTGGGTTACAGTTTGCACGGTCTGTGGAGAAGCATAGCTGGTTTGCTGTTGTGGTAATTGTTGTTGGATAGTTGATTGTTGGCTAGTTTGTTGAACAGTAAACGTTTGACCGGTTTGTAGTAGGACTGCCTGTGTTCCTGAAGAACCTGAATTGACTGAATTTTGCTGTGTCGTTGGTGAGGAATCTCCTGACTGTGTTCGGAGCCCATACGACGCTTGAGACGCAGTCTGCAGGAGACTATTTGAGACTAAAGTCGATGCCGCATATGATGGCCGGTTCTCCACAATCTGAAATTTCCATACGACGTAATCTTAAATACATGTCGGAATCCTATTTTATTTATATTTGTAATTAATTGAGAAACCAAACGTACTTGATTGGGCGAAACGACTAGTTGTGTAGTTGCTGTAAATTTGCTCGTTGGATTTCCGTTACCAGCTTGAGGCTGCACCGACGAAGGCGGTGTTTGTGGTGTTGTTGGCGTAGAAGGTGTTCCTGATACTTGAGCATATTGCGGAGTGTGTACTGGGGTTTTGGACGCTGCTGGGGCTGCAGGCACCTTCGAAATAGATGGTATAGCCCCGTAGGCGGGTGTTGCGGGCGCAGCTGGAGAGGGCGCTGCCATGGATGATGATAATAATCCAGCAGCGTAGTCAGGCGTTGCGGGTGTGGTGGGAGTTGTAGGTGTAGTAACCGGTGTTTCCTCGTCCGTCCCTGGCGCAGCTTCTTCCTTTTTGTCTTCTTTTCCAACTCCAGCTTTTACACCGGTTGGCAATACCTCTTCGTCGCCTCCTTTTCGACGTCTTTTGGCATCCCTACCTATTGGTTGTTCACCAATCTCAAGCAACTTTATTCCCGATTCTTTCCTATTGGGCGTTTTGCTAAGGGGTAAATTCGAACGATGATTTAGAGACGAAATAGGTGACCGGAAGGATCCACCGCTGAGACGATTCGAGGGAAGGCCGCGCAAAGGGCTATCGGCACTTAACTTGCTGTACCCACGACAGCGAATTGGTACCGAGCTTAAACTTGAAACTGTTCGCTTTGTGTTTTGTGCCTCGCGCGCTTTCTGAAGATACTCGTGTTTTACCTACATTGGAAGAACAGATGAAAAAGGATATTTGAAAACGTACTTTTCAAGCCATTGCTTGTTTGAGCAAAATTACTAGTGCATAAACAAGTTTGGAACACTTATTACGACTTGTTACGAGTTATTGATATATTGAACTACAGTATCGTTAGTCGCACAAAATAATTGAGCAAGCTCATTGTAACATATCGCTTAGTACATGTAGTGCTAAGGCTCTGATCGTGTTGGAGAAGAACAGCAAAATGTTTGCAAGTAAAGTGTACTACTAAAAATTGAAACGTTTAAGATAATTTGCATAACATCACGCAAACAGTAATGGTATAAATGACTCGATAATGAAATTTGTCTACTTGATATTACTCTGAAAATAAAGGCTCTCAGATAACATATTGGGATACCCATTATATAGTGAGGTAGCTACATTCAAAAAGGGGCTATAAATAGCATTACGGGCTACAAATGGAGCTAAATTTCTTCAATTCTTGACATCGTAAGTTTTGATAATATGTTTAATATAACATAACATATAATACTATGCATTACCTATTTTACGATTTTCTATACGTGCACGAGATGACATTATCACTACTAATAAAGTAAAAATAGTGGTATGTAACTGTTCGAAATAATAATTTAAAGCATAAGCTCTCTTTATTTACATAGCCTTCAGTAAATTTATAAACCCGTGCAGATTTTTTGACGAAGCATAATATTATGCTTCGAAGCATGGAATGATGTATTGTCTGTTATTTTCAGCCAGCCTCGTCGTATATCTATCTAAACAAGCTTCTTTTTGGTTCTTACTAGAAGAATGCTCATCCTTATAAAAAATGGCATTTATGGTCATGATAAGTTAGCCTATATACCTTGGTGTGCCTTCTAAAGGGTAGAATATATTTTTCTTAAGTACATAATTTGACGGAAAAAGGTTTTTAATAAATTAGAGGAATGGAATATTTTGCCAACGTTAAATAACTTCTGGGCATGCGTGCACACGAAAAAAATAGTGTTTGAGACCACTATAAGAAAAGCTCTATTCTTTTTAATCCATCGCTTAATTTTTTATCACGTTCGTGTAAAGAATGCAGTTTTTGCCCCAAAATTGCGACTCTACATAACGCTTAGCGATCTACTTCCCTTTTGAGATTGACCATTCTTCAATGCGCACTGCTCTAAGTGGCGAGGGTTGAGCCCCTTGCCAACCTTAAATTTCGACAGCACAATGTATTACTTATGCATCTTCCAACATCTTCCCTCATTAGAAAGTTTTTTTCCTTAGAACAAATGCGTTACCTCTGAATTCAAATCGGCACGAGCTTCTGGATTTACCTAATACAATATACGCTAGTATATAGATAATACTATTCTGTTACTTTTTCTTACTTAATCTGTAATTAGAGTTAATTACGCTGCAAGTCTAGTCAAATAAAATTTAACTCCATTTTTTGTTTTAAATTTAACAACCGGTTGCACTAAATTCCTCACTTAATTGTAGTTGTCTGATATGTCGATTAGAATGATACATCTTAAGCTGTTATCATGTTGCTTTAATTTGATTTACCTATTAGAATTGTTTGTCCTGCTACTTCGGTATACAATTCACTTGTTATTTTATATAAGTTACCCTTTTGTTATGAATTTTCAATACCAGTAAAAACATATCTTTACTCATATTGTGCTCCAACAACTACAGAAATTTCACTCACAGAAACTCTAAGAATAGCGTTGTTGTAATGAATATCATATTGTACTTTATAGAGAGAAAGAGGAAATTCTTTATGCTTATTGCTTAGTACAGTTTTAAAAAGTAAACTGTACTGAAACTCCATTCGAGTCGGATAAAGACCAGTTTCTAATATCTGAAATTCAGAAGCTATTTGAGAAAACGACACATAAACATGGAAGCAGACCCTTCAGTTATCACGTATTCATATAATCAGATATTTATATGAAACGTCTTTAATAACGTCCCTTAAAAATTTGCACAATTATTTATGATAAAGGCGTAAAGCACTATTAGAACTTATACCACTTAAAACGATACATATGGTCGAATTGTAATTATCGCTTTTGAAGTTTCGTAACATCTACTGATTATTTAACTTCGGAAAAGTACGTTTAACTTATTGGCCATCTGATTTTCATTTATTCCATACATTTGATACTCACCTGATAGCTTTTCGGATTTTTTTTAACGTTAAAATGCTTCGTGGGGATAGCAGGTTGACCAAGAAGAGCATTACTAGCGCTTTTATTCAGGTACAGGCACTCTTCCGGCAGAACTTGCTCAGATCCTCGGCTACGCACAAGTTTGCGGAGTTCGTTAAGCAGTTCACAAAAGCCACCAGATTCGGGATCGAGGAAAAGTGTGCCATCATCTGGATAAGTTCTCAGGAGGTCAGAAAGCATGGCCACCCAAGGGTCAGTGTCCTGACTTGCCTTTATGAGAATGGATTTCAGTTCTTGACTCCACTGAAATAAAGTAATAATTTTCGCAAGCATACTTATTCTAACCGTATCGCCTAAGTGCTATTAATTGCCATTTTTTCTGTATGCTCATAATCAAGTAACAATCTATATGATACTATACCTCAACCATATTTCGTAGTGGAATATGTAGAATTGCTAGAATAAGTTTTAACTTGACTTGACTTTGCAGATCAGGAAATATTTGAGGAATTTTTCGGAGAAGCTCGCGGTTAAGTTGCGAGCAAATCGAATGTGAGGACCAAAGGTCATTCGTGCCTAATTTATTATGTAGCCACAGCGAAGTGTCGCTATCTCGAACAGACGACATCTGCAAACAGAAATACCATTAATACTTAGAAGCAGTCCATCTAGCTATAGGGTAGGTGTGCTCAGGAAAAAAAATACTTGAAAAAAAATGCTTGAAATGTTTTCGCTAAATCGAAATCAAACAACAAAAGAAAACTGCGCGAACTTCTGAATTTACTCAATACAATATTATTATATATAGTATAAAGATAATTCTGTCTTACTACTTTTTACTTGAGATGTATTTGGAGTTTGAATCCGCGCGTACGGTTATTATGCTGGATGTTGAATCGAATGAAATTGCGATATGATCCTGTCAACTGGTTGCACTAACTCCTTTACTTTACCGTTGTTGCCTGACATGTCTATTAAAATGATACGCTTAAGCTATTGTTACCTCACATTACTTGGTTCGCCTATTACAATTACATCCTTAGCGTTCCCTCATTACCCTATTTGAGTTATTCTGCTAGATTTTTTTGTCACTCCGCTAAACAATTGAACCGTTACCCTGATAAGTTATCCCTCTGTCGTTAACCTATTATTTCATAATAAAACTGTTTTCAGCTTTTAATATTAATATAAACAAGCCTTTGCTTATATCGTGCTCGAGAAATTGCGCAAGTTTAATATTCATTAACATAAGAATACAGTTCTTGTAAAGAGTACATACTGTATTTCATAAATGAAGTTTTGTTTTATACTTATTGCGTACACTTCTAGCTAATCTGCATTTTCAAGAGTTCTCCCGTATAACATATTCAACAGACTATTTTAATATGTCTGAGTTAAGCTTTTAGATTTATTTATTGTTAATATTAGTAGTTGTATTACGGAATAAGTTGTAATTCGACATCGATCAGGAAAATTCGAGTTACAGCATAATAACTTACAGCACCTAGTAAACGTAAAATATTAACACAAGGTTTGAATTTATCCAAGATATTAATTCATTTTTACGATTTTGCTATACTGCCATTTCCCAACACCCTGTCGTTATATTTTGTCGTCATTGTCCAAAATGTCAATAGAGACAATAGAGTACAAATTACCCACATCTAATATAAGCGCATAAGACGTTTTACACGTTGGTTCCATACTGCGTTACCATATTATGTTTACTGATACTGTAGCTTTTTTTTTGCTTGTAGTAGAATCTCTTTGTTCATTTTCGCATCTTATAAAAAAAATAGCAGCAATGGTCATCTAACGGTCTATTCAAGCTCTAATCTGCAAACACCTAAGCACCTCTGTGATTCACACGTTCACTATTTTTACACAATCGTTAGAAAACGCACTGCGTATTCCGTACCTTACGGACAACGTCGATGTTACTTGTCAAAGCATTCCGAAAGAAACAAAAGCGGTCCAGAGAAGATGAAGCGTTGACCATATCATGACTGGGTCCGTAGATTGAAGGTTACAGGTTTTTCATAAAGTTTCAAGAGAATTGAACTACGCTTAAGAACTTAGCACAATGTGACCATTTTGGCGGGAAAATGCGCACATAAAAAGTCAACGTTTCCTTAATAACCTTATACTTATACTAAGAGCTTTAAATATAAAGCTATTGGAGTGTACGGACACTTTGTTCCTAAAACATGAAGTGCAGCATGTTATTATGCTGGGTCCAAATTCACCACATTTCAACTAAACCATTGTAAAAACATATTTATAATAGCTTAGAATCATAATATTGGACTCAGTTCTTGCAGTACGTTTTTTTAAGGTATAGTATTAGAGTATGTGTAGCCCAAGTGTAGCTCACCTTAGGATTGGGGTGCCTGAACGAGAATTTAGTCTGAACACTCTTCACACACTTAGAAGACTGTTAGCAAGTATATTAAGCAATCCATAAACGTTTGAAATAGAAATCATATAAATTTCAGGACATCGGTCTGTTGTTCGCAATGAACAAGATGGACGCACCTTTGTTTACCAACGTCGGTACCCCATATATTGGGGCGACTGTAAACGGCTCTGATATGTTACTAAATTGAACGGTATGCTTCAACAAAGAGTTGGCTTCGTAGTAGCAGTGGTAATAAAGATATCTATTATCTGTTTTATTTCCTAATTTTGTAGCTTGGGAGTTCATCTACTTGCCTATAATTGACGAATATTCGAACCCGCTTCTTGTAAAGACTGCCCCATGGCGAGTGGTTCGGCGGGCAGCAGACGAACCGCCGAGATGACAACAATCATTATTTCCTTACCAGTGGTACATAGCTTTGGAGGAAATTCTGCTATAGTGCTTGCTGCTGTTGCGGTTGTAGAGCACGTTGTGGGAAACATCGGAGGGCGCTCCTAGTGTAGACGTTGAAGTGCGATCGAAATCTTTAAACATTTACTAATTGTTTTCCCCTTCTGTCTATTCTGCACAACGATGGAGCAAAGTCGATTAGCGGAGATCTGCCGCGCTACGATTGATCCGGTTAAGCGCGAGGCTGCTGAAAAGGAGCTCGAAACTGTAAGTAGAGATGACATCTGGTGTGTAGTGTGATTGGATTACCACAGGGCCCTAAGCCGCGTGGAGCGTCTAAGCATCCAACGGAGCCATCAACTGCACAAGTTATTGCAACATGAGCCTACAGTGTTTCACTAAAGTATCTGTATGTTCCTATTTAAATATGTAGGTGCACTACACTGTCACTCATGTGAATGACATGGCATTGAGTCATCTGGCCCGTTGTTCTCTTATCTAATCGTTTCTTCAACTATCCATGCCACAGGTACTGCTGTTAATGGTGTCGCCTCAGAAGGGTGGAGTCACAGTAGCAGTTGATGAAACAATTCAAAGTACAAGTTTACTGGGTTACAAAATTCAACAGTATCTTAGCCATGTGGCGCTAAGCTGGCGTGCATCCAAAGATCCGTCACTAACCATTCGCGCTGCTTCTGCAAGTGCTCTCTTCTAGGACTAAGATTTGCCAAAGCAGTTCCAAGAGTATATGGAAACTCAAATAGTGGAACGAAATTGTGCATGAACACACATTAAAATAAACTCATTAATATCCTCATGTGACGGATCTTTCTATTTTATACTTAAAATATATCAAGAGATGAACTACTTAATAAACGACTAATAAGGCTAAGGGCTAGTAAAAAAAAAACTAGCTTTACTACAGTTCAGATAACGCAGGTTCTTTAAAATTTTCTTTGGACCAGTATGATTGAGTTCAATTATAATGCTTAGATAAGGTAGTTAATTGTGATTATAAGTTTAAAGACGTTGAGATATGCCGGAACAGCCTAAACGGTGAAATAGTCATGAGCCACGGTCTAAGAGGAGGTTTTTTTTATTTACTAAAGTTAGCAAACTCATGGGTCCAGTATGTCAGACCATTTATTTTTATTTGTACTTAATTTATATACAACAAGCATAAAACAGCTATGAAAGCAAGCATATGTATTTTTTTATTGTGGAAGTTGTTATTGTAAGAAGTACGAAGAAGTGCACTCTTGTTGTGTTCCTGACTGATCTGGTTTTCCGGTGTCCTAAATACTTAATTGATTACTTACCGGCGATTAAATGCTGTTGGAAGAATGTTTCTGTTTAGATGATAGACATGATTAAAAGAAAAATATTATCGGCAAGTGTTTTAAGTTGTTAAACCAGGATTGTTTTTCGCAGGTGAAAAAGATTATTGGCTTCGCGCCGTCACTCCTATCGATGATTATGAATGGAGCAATCGATGTGCCTACGCGTCAAGCTGGTGCTGTATTTCTAAAAAATCTAATTGTGTCAAGTTGGGCAGATCCTCCCGAGCCAGATTCTCCAGGACTGCCTCTAGAATTCTCACTTCACGAGCAAGATCGCGCCATGCTTAGAGACAGCATCGTAGATGCTGTTATTCAGAGCCCGCCCCAAATAAGGTTTGAGTTAATAAATACTTACTAGAAGTGTATCACTTGTTTTTATGTACCCAAGCAGCCAGTTCTAATATAAAAAAACACGGCAATTTTACTAAGGAAAATGGTATATTTTTTCAAAATATGTTTTATTAATGGTTAGCCAGTAGTTACTTAGTCAATTGCTTAATCGTGATGAATTTGGTTTGAGCGATTTAAAGTGGTGGTTTTTACAAATATGTAAGTGTCAGCCTATTAGTACAAGTTGCATTCTATCTAGCGGCTTGATTTCTGTTTCAGAGCGCAAATGGCAGTATGTTTAATCCAGGTTATTAAGCATGACTTCCCACAGCGGTGGGTAGGTATCGTCGATAAGGTAGTCGTCTACCTTCAGACACCTAACAACAACGAGTCCTGGTTCGGTACCTTATTAGCCCTCTATCAGCTGGTTAAGAATTACGAGTAAGTAGTCTCTCGAATAATGATTTGCACATTATAAATTGAAAAAAATAGTTAAATAATATATATATATATATATATATATATATATTATTTAACTATCAATATATATATATATATGGGCTTTCTCGTTTCGTTTGTATAGGTACAAAGCCAAGGAAGATCGAGCTCCGCTTCTAGAAGCTATGAAGCTGATTCTGCCCATGCTGCAGGATTTAACAATGAAAACTTTGCCTGATGAGAGCGAGCCTGCTGTCCTAGTGCAGAAACAATGCTTGAAAGTGTTCTACGCTCTCGTTCAATATAGCCTGCCTCTTGAACTACTCAGTCAAGAGATGTTTGGACAATGGATGGAGATTTGTCGGGTTATTATTCAACAACCCGTACCAGCTTCTACCCTTGAAGTTAGTGAAGAGGAGAGGCCTGGACTGGTTCACTGGAAGTGCAAAAAGTGGGCTTTGCACATTGTCACCCGTTGTTGTGAACGCTACGGACTGCCAAATTCTGTTGCCAAAGAATACAAGCAGTTCGCTGAATTCTATATCAAGGCATTTGCACAGGGCATTATAGCCACATTGTTTCAATCAGTGTTGGATCCGTATCGACAAGGACAATATGTGTCATATCGAGTTCTTCAGGAATCGCTTCAATATCTTGTGCACACAGTTGGACAGGCTCTCTGCTGGAAATTCATAAAGCCACACATCAATGTGATTATACAGGAAGTTATCTTCAAAATATTGTGTTTTAACGACGAAGATGAAGAAATGTGGCAGAGTGATCCTACGGAGTACATAAGGGTAAAATTCGATCTGTTCGCAGAGTACCAGTCGCCGGTAACTGCTGCCCAGAACCTACTCGATACCGTTTGTAAAAAGCGCAAAAACGTATTACAGAAAACAATGGAGTGGGTAACAGGTCTGATCAATTCTGGGACTTTAACGCCTCGTCAACAGGACGGTGCCTTCAATATGGTAGGAGCAGTATCTTCAACGCTTCTTCGCAAAAAGCCTTACAAAACACAATTGGAGAACATGCTCTGCTCTTACGTGTCACCGCTATTCCAAAGCAAGGAAGGTTATCTTAGAGCTCGCGGCTGCTGGTTGCTTCAGCAATTTAGCGAAGCAAAATTTACACGCCAAGAGAATCTAATTGGATGCCTTGAACTCTTGCGAACAGCGATTATGAATCCCCAGGAGGAAGTTCCTGTTAAAGTGCAAGCAGCTGTTGCCATTCAAGATCTCATGTCTGACCAGGACGAGAGTGAGTACGGTCAGTTCATATATATGCAGATAGAAACAACGTGCGGCACATTCAAATAAGTGACTACCATAGTGGCAGGGTGAAAAGGGCGTTGGCTTTTTAAGCACGAGATCAGCTTATCGTGCGGTTACATTTGCTCGGCATGAACATAATTTCCTTCCATGCGCGTTAGGTTTTTGAAATCGTTTTCCATACTGCCAGAAGCTATACACCAGGCTATTTATGTAAAATTTAAAAAAGTTTCGGCTCTCGAAATAGTTTTGTAGACGTGCGTACTTTAAAGATAATGTACATCCTGGTTATTATGCCCCATCTATATTTCAAAGGTTTGTTACTCTTCTACATAGAAGCGTACTCTACCTAAAACATCTTCACACTTCGATGCTTTTACAGTCAAAAATTATTTGGAACCTCATATTCGTGACCTTACACTCTGTTTGCTCGACTTGATACGCTCAACGGAGATTGACGAGGTGACTTCCTGTGTGCAGCGCATCGTGTGCAACTACTCTGTGCAGTTAATGCCAGTTGCAATTGATATAACTAACCATTTGGCACAGAGCTTCACCACAATGCTTGCCCAGACACAAGACGATGGAGATGACAATGATTCGAGAGCTGTTGCAGCCATGGGTAACGGACATTTTATTCGTTTTTCAGCTTTATCTGTCTTGCCTATTAGTAGACATGCTGGATCGGTTTATATAAGCTATCATGTGTTACCAGAATGGAACAATATTAGCCCAACAACTACATTTTGCGACTTGAATACAGTTAGAATCTGGTTACATTCGTTTCAACATGTCCATTTTATTGAGTATACATATTGTAACAAAATTAAGTTGTAACAACTGGCTCAAAGACATTGTTTGACAATGATATGGAATCAGGTTCACTAAAAGAATTGTTCAATCAAACATGAGGGCGCTGATTCTGAGGTTTGCTATACAACGCAAGTAAAAAAATATATATTACAGTATTTGATAAGCATTTGGAGATAATATGAAAAAGTTTGTTCCTACCTTTAATTTATGCCAATACTGACGCTTATGGCATTATGGGCCACAAACCTAAGTCCATAATTTAACACAACCTAGCATAAACAATTTTTTGACATGAACGTTATACACCTAGATAAATTTTGAAGGTTTATTGACCCTGCAATACGAATAAACTACATACTAGTTCGTAAGTAGTAATGAACATAATTTTGAATTCAGGTATCTTGAGCACCTTGGAAACAATTTTGGCAGTTTGGGATGATTGCAAGGAGGTAATAGCCCAACTAGAGCCAATTGTTCTCCAGATTGTGTCTGGGATTTTGACGCAAGGTGTCAGCGAATTCTACGAAGAGGCATTTTCTCTTGTCTACTCGTTGTGCTGCGACCGAGTCTCGGCAAACATGTGGCACATCTTTAGTATCATGTACGAGGCTTTTGAAAGAGATGCGAACGAGTTCTTTATAGATATGATGCCAGTTCTTCACGCACTCATAACGGTTGATACACCGGCCTTTCTCAGTAACGAGAACCATGTTATGGCAATGTACAACATGGCCAAGTACATTTTTGACAAGGCTGGAGATGAGGATCCGATGTGCCATGCTGCCAAGCTTCTTGAAGTTATGATTCTACACTGCGGTAATAGTATCGAGAAATGCATTCCAGCTTTCCTCGAAATCTGCCTACAGCGTTTGTTCAAGAAAGTCGAGTCAGCCGAGTTACGTCAAATGTTACTACAGGTTGGTATTGACATGACTGTTGGAAAAATTTTCGAAAAAAAGATATTCACAACTTGAATAGTATTATTCAAATAAACATGCAATGGAAGGGAATATTAATGTTCACTGGTGTGTCTTTTTCAGGTCCTGATTTCGGCAATGTATATCAACCGACCGTTGACGCTATCTACATTAGAGCGACACACGACACCGCCGCTAAAAGAAACTAATAATCAGGCTATTCCAGTACTAGACTTCTTTGTTAAACAATGGATTGAGGATGTGGATTGCTTCCTAGGCGTGCATGATCGAAAAGTGTGCGTTCTTGGAATGTGCTGCCTAATGGATCCTGGATGGTCGGGCAAACCTGCCGCCCTTGAACAGGTCCTACCTAAAATCATGCCCTCGTTCCTTATACTATTTGATGGTCTGAAACGCGCCTACGCGTATCGGGCCACTCTGGAAGAAGAGCAAAGCGGTGATGAGGAAGGTGAAGAAGGAAGTGACATTGACGACAGGCAGCTTAGCTCAGATGAGGATGATCTAGACGATGAAGGCCGAGCTTACATGGAACAGCTGTAAGTATAACAGCTATTTTGGCGATCAAAAAATAGGTCAGGTGCGAGTACAATATGATTTGCACTGAGGTTTGGGCAAGCTAACCGCAGCGCTTGGTAGAAAATTTGAAACATAATATCTGCTTGTACTTGGCTCCGGCCAACTAGAACGATGTATTCTTAAAAACTTATGTGCATAATATCATCGATATATCATCGAAGAAATGTAGTGTTTTTTAGTTGAAACGAATGTTTTGAGTTTCGAAACCATGCGCTGTGATAATATGGTAACGACGATTAGTAGGTGTCTTTAGATAATCGAAAATGTTATTACTTCCACTATACAAGCGTATTAAGCAATTTCGAATTGTAAATATTTGCATGTGCTACATAAAGCTAGGTACAAAGAGCATGTACCTCTTTTTTCTTTTATTTTCAGATTAGACGGTTAGGCATTAGGTGTTTAGGCATTTGGTAGGCAGGCATAGGTGTTTGTATTGATACTAGATACCCTTCTTAAGTGACCTTTTTGGTAGTTACTAGTTTAGGTATTTTACATTTCTGTTATGTAATTTCGAAGTTATATTATGAAAATGTGTAATGCGTCTGTATGTTTGCCATACTTTCAGTGCGGGCAGGATGAGAGTAGCTGGCTATTCGACCCTTCATAGTGGAGGCGGAGATCGCGACGGTGACGCAGACGACGAAGAGACAATCGATGACGAAGAGCAAACGGCACTTGAATGTCAATACTCTACTCCTTTGGATACAGAAGAGGGGAAACAGGGCTACGTGGACGAGTTTGCTGTATTTAAAGGGCTGCTTGAGGCCTTACAAAGTTTGTCTCCCGCAATCTATAACCAGATGATAAACCTACTAAATGATGAGCAAAAGAACCAGTTGCATAGCATATTTGTATATGCCAATCAAAGAAGAGCAGCCGCCGAGTCGGCTCAAATTGAGAGGCAGGGAGGGTACCAGTTTAGTTCGAATGAAGTTCCGCAATCTTTTAACTTTGGCGCTAGGAATGGAACGTTTGCTCCCCAACAACAGTGAGGAGTTTAGAGGTGACAATGCGATGTTAGTTATAGTAGCGTATAAACTATTCGTAATGTAACAACGGGAGCTGTTTGACTAGCTAGCATTTCAAAGATCTATGAATCTGACTAACTAATTGTACAATAGATCTTTGGGCCACAAGAAATTCCTGAGGCTTTGTAGGATCATTTATATGGCCATAGAGGAAGGCGCAAAATGCGAAACAATCCTCTATAGACCTTTGCAGATGACGAAACAGATTGTTGTCTCACTATTAAGGATCGCAAGGTTGCTTTCCCGTGAAAATGTCGCTGAGTCCGTAATGAATTTGCAAAAATATTATGAGACGTTGAATGTACATAAAAGCGCTCCTTTGAAGATCAACCACCTTTAATATGAATAGCATAAAAGAACTTGTGTTGGATCATCTACATTTACAATTCTGGAAGGTCCGTAATTATACGATGAAAAACAGCGATAAATAGTGAGGAGATGTTGGCCTGAAGGTTTGACTGTAAAACGGTTTTGTTATATCGTTGAAATAAAGGTATATTCAATTATTACCTATCCTGTTGTTGTTACAATAATGACCTTTTTAAAATAATTCTGAGTACGGACTTGGTTTTTAGATGATCATAGAGTCCTATACAAAACTAATCAAAGCTGCATATTTCCAAAAACACCTTCGTGTAAGCCAGCTTTCCTAATTTTTTTTGTTACTTAAGAGTATTTAAAACAAAAGGGTCAAAAGCCGCTTTTGCTTTTATGAAGGCGAACTTTTTACCTCTAGTCATGTTTAATAAAAGCAGTTATTGGCTAAATTTAATGCACACGCTCTAAACAATTAAATGAAGACTACGAGGCTTATATATTTCACATGTATCCTATTTTTTATTTGATCGAGTATTAAAACATGTATTTAAAAAGTAATTAGCCAGAGAAATCCCCAGTGAACAATGTATACTTCCGATAGATCTTGTATGACTATATGTCTATGATTTTGTAAATTTAATGTCTATTATTAAATAGATAGTCTCGGGCCTAAAGGATAACATGCTTTATTTATAGCTTTACAACATCGACTCGTGTTTATAACTATTAACAAAGTTGATATCATTATATCCGCCCCTTGGGAAGAAGAGTACAATTTTTATTTCAATGTGGGCTCTATAAGATCAAAGCCTTATCAAAAGCAAAAATTTTTAACACTAAGAAAAGGCATTATATGAAAAGCATGAAAGATAAAATGTAAATAAGCATATATGTATGTATTAGCGTGATGGTAAATAACATCATTTGAGGTTGACGTTAATGTGACGATAACTAAACTAAAAAGCTGGGCCTTTCAAGGTAATATCCAATATTTCTAGGTGTTATAAGAAGTCAGAAACACATAGTTGTAAATTTTTAAAGGTTAGGTTACAACAGAATTTTTAACGAAAATGGCCTACGCTATACTTTGCATTTATTTCCTAGCCGTTTTAAGGATGCGACGACATCTATTACTACTTTTTTTGATCTTAGTACTATATGGTATATACTTTTCTGAAAATTCTCGACTAGCCTAATCTGGTGCTTATGGCGTCTGAGCAGTAGGTTAGGAATCGAGGTCATATGATTTCATCCGTGGTCCTATTTTTGCCATAATGCCACTACGTGTACAAAATAAATGACACTGTTTGTTAAGTTTTTAAAACTGAATGTTTCTGTTGTAGCATTCGGCGGCCTGGCGTTTGGTTGTCTTGTGGTAAGTTACGAAGTTTTACCATGGTTTGATTAGAAACTTGGAACCTCAGCTTTTCAACAACGACCCAGTCACACCACAATGATAATGCAGTAAAAGATACAGGCCCAGGAAGGGCAAAACCATTGAAAATGTGTCGGGATGCTCTAACCATATACATGCTTCTTCAGGATTTTGAGGGATTGTCTTTCTAATACAAATTAGTAGATTGAGTTAAGAGTTGGGTGCAGCTAAGAAGAAGAATTGGCTTAAGAATAAAACTGCGCTTGGTTCCTGAATTTATCGGTACCCCAATAATACTGATAACACCCTGTGAGGTTAGAAAGCAGTACGATGGCCATTTATTAATATGGTAAGAAATCATGTTTCAAGATAAGGTCAAAGACTTTCAACTATGCGCAGCTTAAAGCTAGCTAATGAAGTTAGTTAAATTTAGTACGTTGAGTTTGTTTATTTCAATACGTGATCAACAGTAGCGTTATAAATAGACAGTTGTATATATGTCAGATTTAGTTATATGTCAGACTTCATAATATATTAGGTTGTCGAAAGAGTATTGGCCGTTTTCAGGCCGAAATTGAAATAAATTAAAAAATAAAAAAGATATGCGCTATCTTTTTGCCGTGTTTTGGCAACACTATGGCCCCATCGCTGTAGAATTTTTGTGGTTTCTGAACGGGAAACCGTGACAAATGATTTTTGCGTCTTTTCATCGAATTAAACTAACACCGTTAACGGAGTTCCGCAGCGTCCGAAACAGATAATAGTCTGATGGTGCAGGATCCGGGTTACGTAGCGAATGCATTAAAATTTTCTACCCAAATTCTTTTTATACCTGCTAAGTAGCTATGGATATATGTGGCCTGATGTTGCCATGGTTATTCACTAGTTCATTGTTACGTCTATTCACTAGTTTTGATTGACTTTTTTCAATGAAAGTCCTGTCGGTTGTTGACAGTCACAATCCTAATCAGTCGTTTTGCCAGGTGGCATATTGCGCGATTTTTTTGTCAATCCCATCGAAAATAGTAAGGCACATTTTTATTAACATTTCTTTTTGCATATTGCTGTGCGTGATCTATATAATATATCAACTGCTTTAGAAATTTCTCGATTTCGTTACGCTTTTGTAGAATTTCACGAATGTAAATACGATCAAATGAATTATTTTACGTCCCTTCGTTTGACAACAAAACGTCGAACTTCTTTGTGTACTCAGCCTTCTTCAAATTGTTTAAAACTGTTTGATGATAGATGTTTAATTTCTTTGCGATTTTGTTGCTACTCACGAATCCGTCTAGCTAAAGATTCGCAATAATTTCATAAACTTTTTCGTAATTTGTTAACCACTACGAGGGGCATCTTTCACAGCAAACTTTTGAAAATGAAAGCAACAGAACCATGTTTCAGTTGTTTCTTTGGACAACTTATCTTGGCCATAAACAGCACAATTTTTATGGGCGTAGGCAGTATTTATGCCTTTATTTATATAGTGAAATAGTAAAATAAAGCGAATTTCCATAGAATTTTCATTCATTTTAAACACGCGCTATCTTGAATCTGGATAAAGGCATTTCAGTAATATTATCATATCTAGTACTGTCAAAACTCAGCTTTTAAGTGATATCAACGTGAACTCAATGGAACTCATATTACCTAAAGTCACCTAGCCACAAAGGCGCTCAATTTTCCTTACAACCCAATAAAAAGAAATGTTTTATATATTGTCAGTGTTAGCTATTAAGTCATAATTCTATTCCGTTTGATTTCTCAGTATGCAATATTTCTTTGGCGATTTTAATTCTTTTTTCTGGCAGGTTTCGAATTCTCTTCTGTGAGCAATGTTCATCACCGTTCCCTAGCTTCTGCCTCAAGATAGGTTTTTTTCGAAATAGTTCTTCTGTCAATTAGCATGGTCGTCCAAGTCATACGCGTGTAGTGTTTCAAAATAGAACACATTACGAAGTTATCAAATCGTTTCAAATACGAAATACCATATTTTCATATCAAATCGGAGAATACAGATTAGAAGAAAACGCTTACTGTATTGTGGAGTGATACTGCTCGGGCGGCACCCTTGCATACAGGTTTATGAGCATGTATAGCTGCATTTGTGTTGTACTTAATGATACGGCTAAAATATTGGTATTCTCTTATTGGTCTAACGCTTTTAGCAGCCCGGAGTGCGTGCGTTTTGCGTCTCTGCGTGTTTCCCACTAAAAGTCCTCGTTTCTGCTTCAGTTGGTCAACCATTTAAACCATCAAACCGTTTTCCATTGGTAATTGTATACTATGGGTTTGTATTTATTAATGTTATAGCCCATCGGTGTACTGTTATTGGCAATTTGTCGCTGCAACGTGTTTTCATCGGCTATATAACTACTTTGAGGTTTGTCTCTGTTAGAACTATGACATAAAGGCACTGTGGTCAGCATTACCCGCGTCTTGATCCAGCATAATCCACAGATTGTTTTGTTAAACAAATGCTTTCCCTGTTTTTATGTTACTCTCAGAACACAGTTTCTCCAAACTATCTCAACTCGAAAACAGTGGGTCACCTAAAGGTTTCCAGCAGATATTAGAACGCAACCTAATCTCCCTGCCGGGAGGATACCTCTGCCGTAGCCGAAAAAACATCAGGAGAAGGAAACAAAAGTAGAGCTAATGTCTGAGTCTGCAAGTACCAATCTCAGGCTGCACTTGCATTCGTGACAAATAAGAGGAGATAAAGAAAAAGAAAAAAAGAAAATGTAAGGTGGCTAGGCAGCGACCCGCCAGCTAGTTATGAAGATGACATTGGAAAACGCGGTAACTTGGACGAGAAATTAATGGAATTGACGGAACAACACGGCAGTACACGACGATCAATCCAGCTTAAGATAGCAAAATCGGAAATCGTGACTTACGAAATGGAAGAAGAAGGGATGGAAAATTGGTAAATGCAAAGCACGACAAGAAAACGTCTTATGTACATAGAAAGAGGAAAATGGCCGTGGCAGTTACAAGAAATTCGCCCAACAATTTATTTGGACAGGAAAGCATTCCGGGAAACTAAAAAGCTCAAACCACTAATTTCCTAACGATAAACCTACGGTTGTTGATTGATAGTTATATAAAGATCGCGGTAAAACGCCTGGACCCTTTGAATGTAACTGTAACATAAGAGCAACTACTAGGTTACACGCCATTGTTCTAAAGTGAGTAGTGAATAACCAATTTAGTGATGAGACAAAGCCAAGAGGTCTATAGGCTTTCGTTTTATTTTGATGGTTCAGACCAATTTAAATCCTCGTAAACAAATCGGCTATTGAAGCGAACGTCAATATATAAAATGTCTGTACTCAAATCTTCACTTTAAGGCCTTGGATCTAATTAGCTCGTATTGCATGCTAAATGACGTGAACACCAAATTTTGCTGTAAAGCTTGACTCGACAACTCTATTAATTATGTTGACCTATCTAGGAATCCTTTTGTGTATTTTGGCTTTCTTGTCTTCTATTCTATGATGGCACTTGCATCTTATACATTTATCATATCATACATTAAACGCCATATTGATATAGTCGAGGTTAAGTAAAAACACTCGCTGAACGCATCTCAACTTCTCTTTTTTTTAATTTGACCAAACTTCGCGCCATACGTTACAACATTTTAAATCGCACTGATCACACGTACGGTACTTGGTTCCGCTCTTTACATTTATTATGATACTAAGAAACTAATTAAACTAAGTGGTATTTTAATTGTCCTCAAATTAATTGGTCGGAGATTGTGTCGAATAAATACGATTCAAGAAGATCTTTTTGTGGATTGCTTTGAAGCTTAGCTTATAATAACTCGTGATTATTTGTATATTGTGTCTTTCAACTCAATTTTTGATGTCGTATTTACTTCTGATTCTACTACAAACAGTGATTAAAACACGATTCTTGTAACACGGTCTTGCTTTTGCGGAATCAAATCATGTTGCCATTTTTTTTTATATCTAAGTTGTACGGTCAATCGCTGGAGTGAAATGGCTTTGTAGTTAGCGCATTCAGTGCATTGGGCTACCCTGATGATGGTGTGGGGTCGATTGGTGCTAAGGGTCATAACCATTTTCGTACAAAATATTTTTCGGCTTTTTATTCCGATTAGTATTATAGTAGCGGCAACTATAACTGTGTGTAAAAGGTACCGACTTTCACGCCTGCAGGCTAGTAGCGGCGGCTGCGGTTATTCCAAAAAACCACACGCTTTGCAATTTTCTTCGTCCATAGAGATCATACAGGCATCCTAAATCCATATCTCACTGATGCAATAAGTCGAATAGCCAATAGAACGAAATATGGCATATATTACATCACATAGGGATGGGTTGACACTCTGTAAGGTAAATCTATTTTTGATGAGTTTCGGCGAGAAACTAAAGCGCCCAATTATGCCATGGGCTCCCATATGATGAATTCTATAGTAATTGCTCATGATTCATATCTGGGGTACATAGACTGCAGAGGCTGAGAGTTCAAAATTCAACCGACAAAATCAACTGCAAGAAGACGAATACATATTCACACTTCGGTGCAATAACCTGGTCTTTGTTCAGTAACTGTGAACTTGGAGTACCGCTAAATATGAATTAACCTGTTTACTCCTACAGTTGCCTAAGATCCTTTTAACTGTAGAATGACTTACAAAAAATTTCTGTGAATAGTCGGTGAATTCGATTTAGACTTCAAAGATACTAGTTTATATTTTTTCGCTAAGCGGACGTTCGGTTAAAGGGTATGAGTATGTACATGTCTATATATTTCTTGGTTCTAAGTCACTCCAACTTAGACAAAATTAATACATTAGCTGAATTTTTTTACCAGTTCCGACAACCGCACGAGTCTGGCCACGAAGGTAAAATCAACCGTACTTGTAACTATATAGTTTTCATGCGCCTATGAAGCTGTCTAAACTGACAATATGTACCTTCTAAACAACTCAAAATCCAGGTTCACTATTACTCCCGTTAAAATATTGTTAGTGTTTCACAGGACGTGTGCCATTTTCTTAGGGCAGAACTAATAGTCATGGACCAATTAAAAATATTTTCAGAAAACGCATTGTCATCATCTATATAATATGTCGTCCAGTATATGAAATACCTCACAGTCAGTCGTATTTTGCAAAGATCTTAGCCTTACGCCTTTCAAAATTCACCAAAGATAATAATCGCCTAGGTTACAACTTAATTTCTTATTTTTTCACCTAAACTCAATTATTAAAAATGACTCAGAACTCTATGTTTAATAAACCTCTAGGCCATTCTATCACATCTATTTTAAGCAAAAAAAATCTTTCGGCAGACTCGACTACTACCTGCTCCCCTAAAAATGCGAAACCCACGCAGATATTCATGAGTGTGCTACGTAATGAGCCGATGCTTACACAGCTGAACGATTTTTGAAACCAACTTCAGTCAGCTTTTTCCTATTACTTTTGGAGGTAGCTGTGTTTCTTCATCGTTGTACGCCATGGCAGTGCTTGATATAAATAGCTATGCTCTGCCTGATGTCAAGTATTTGGAACATTCGTAGTACGTGCGTTTGAAATCGTCTTGATAAATTCGGTTCATAATAATACAAGCAGTTGACTCACTTTTCGTTACTGGAGTGAGAGTAAAGTGCAACCATCAACAGTGAAGTGTTGTGTTTTCAAAGATTGTAAGCTAGATTACGGTTACAAGATTGTAGCATTGTTCTGCTGACCTTACCCGTCATAATTTATCGTCTAACGGATTTTTTACTATCAAATTGATTAGCTAGTCTGAAGAATGAATGCTCCAAATTATAGTGAGAACCAAACTCATTAACAACATTTATACGCGAAGCATGAACGGGTAGATTCAGAAGCATGGTCCACCCCCGAGTTCCTTATTTTTAAATAATTTAAATAGGTAAATATATTCGCATGTATGCTATTTTGAAAATCCGAGAGATAGCCCTTTCAGCCGAACTCAAAACAACAAAAGCAAATAAGAAATCTCATATTTCGTCAATTTGGCCTAGACCTATCGTACTACTTTCGTTCAAATTTAAGGGTATCACTTTCAAACTATACTTACAACAAACTCTCGGAAAACTTAAACGATCTTAGTTATACATATGCTTAAATATCGTAGGTTGTTTCCATAACAATTGATGTACTGTAGAAGAGGCATAACTTGCTAGCGAAGTAGAATGCGTCTACTTTAGGTCCAATTACGTATATTACGAAATTTTGAAGGGGCTGCAGAAATAGAAGGTCTATTAGAAGGCACCAGTAATGGGTTAGTATTTAGATTCATTTTATGAAACTGTTACGCGGAAGGATCCCAGAGATCTTTGAAAGCAGATGCGTTTGTTTATTAACAGTAAACAAGTAAAATACCTGCAGATATGTCAACATAAGCTTTATCTACCAGATAAAAGCGTAAGTGATTACGTTACAAATGTTTTCCTGTTTATGTTACTTTAATAAAACTCGAGCTAAAAATTTTAGGACGAAGAGCAATTGAACACTGACCTTGTGTTAGAGCTTTAAAAATAAGAAACTAGAAACTTGTGTAGTACAAAATTATTTATAAGTGCATTTTCCAAAACAAAGAATGTGACGCTACAGTCGGGTAGTACGTAGTAGCTAATGCAATTGTCATGCAACTTGTCATCTGAGGAAATATATTCGGTGTGAAGAGCTAGAGAGTGACCCTGGCAGCCGAGCCTAATAGGGGCCACGGACGCTCTTCGTATGGGGTACCATATATTAGTCAACATAGGATAGCGTTAGTATTAGGTCGGTGCACAGAACGTTTTGTGTCTTTATGTGGGCGATCTATTGTGTGCGCCGCTCGGCCATGGATAAAGCGACGAATAGGCTCGAGCGTGCGTGCTATTACATAGGAGCAACAGCTGTTCAACCCTAATGCGACGTTCATGGCGTCTGGGTTCCTGATTGCCAGTAGATCGCTTAGTGCTAGGCGCTGGTGAATTGCAAGGTCTCTAACGACGGATTGGACCACTAGGACAAACAAGAATACGACGCCTACGAACGAAACACTTGCTACGATCTTTACGTCAACAGCCTCAAGCCAAAATCGCTTAGTTAGGTCGGTTTTATAATATGTTATGAAAATATACAAAATAGAAGGAGAACTGATATACGAGAGTCTGTGAGTCGCTATACGTCGCTAAGTAGATTTTAGCGATAATGAAATAGAAATGTGTAATCAAAAAGTGCTATCAGTTGTCGCCGTATACACTTTCTGTTGGATAAAAATTAAAAAGATTCGAAGCTAAGTTTTATAAAATGTCTAAGTAGATTAACGTTGATGTGCTAAGTGTTCTTCTTATTTTCGCAGAGGACTACTGTGTACCTTCCTGTTGCTCCCAACCTAAGACTTAGGTCTAACCACCAACATCATTTTCGATCTTTTATACTCCGCAAGTAAGTAGATTTCCTTTTGCAGATTTTCGAAATATTAGAGAAAATATTCCCATTCTAGATACTCAGTCTGTTTGCCTGAGCAGGCGGGATAACTTAAGGAGAACATGTTAGGCTTTTCTTATTTAACTATTAAAACAAACCGAAAGCAAGTAGCGTGTTACACGAATATGTTTTGAAGCTGTAATCAGCCTTACATAAAGGAAATGGTCGTAGCAGCCGGCGTATTGCTTGCAATGGTTTTTATTGAGCGAAATTTTCGTAGCCGGAGCCAAGGTTAGATTATACTTATACTAAAATAACGCTGCAGACGGGCAGGATTGTTCAATTGGCTTTGACAAAAATCCAATGACAATTGGATGTTGTCCACGTAACTCTAAAAAGAAAGGCGACTTGAGGCAACAATCAAAACAATTTCTATTGCATAATGTTTCTACGGTCTTAGATAATTACTGTTATAAAATGTCTAAAATGTCTATTAGAAAACATCCCATGCAAAAATTTGCATGGGATGTTTTCTAATTTCTAAAAAAAAGTAAACTAATGTAATAGATATATTCGATTATTTGAAGCACAGAAGGTTGATGTAGCGTTTATCGCTGATCAGAAATCATACATATTTTTTTTGTAAAAAAAGTTAAGCGTGTAGCCAAATTTGGATTAGAATCGCTTTATTTATTATTTATCGCTTTGCTTATTCATTTTTAGATTTTCCTTGACCTTTTTAGTTATAGGTCATTTTAAGGAAAGCCGTGTGCTTTTTAAAAAGGTTTACTCAGTAAGGCAAATCGATCAATGCGTAAAAATAGCGGATGTTTCATATGACTGATATAAAGTGCATTTTGTATAGGCCTGTTTAATAAGTTGATACCCATAAGCCTCGATAGCGAAAAATGATTTACATAGGGTAAGTGATGACGCATTATAACCAATAGGACAATTGGAGACAGAGAAGTGCTATTATAGTAACAAAATCCGTTATTATATGTTTTGAAACGTTAGTTACTTATTATTCTTATATTACAAACTGAGAGAAACGAAAATATTACATACTGCTTTTGATAACTTTTACGGACCGACAAGCTCTTAGGAATTGTTTCGTGCTTTAATTAGGTATTATTTTGTATGTCTAATCTATGGCGACTATATCCTCCAGGCGAGTTTTTGTTGATTAAAGTTTCGCAAATTGGACATGGAATACATCACACACGTTTCCCACTGGCTTGGAGTCCATTGATGGGAAGCCCATTTTTTTCCAGGTTAAGCATTTTCAATGTTTGATTCATAGTTTTGGATTACGTCACATGCGAAACGTCACCTATGGCCGCCAAAGCTCTGCTTTGGTGAAGGGTTTGCTCGATTCCAGCAATGCATTGTTATCCTTCTGATCAGCTCCTCGCTAATCTTTAACACTTTAATCTCTGTTCTTAAAACATTAGCACCACTCATCGACTGTCTCTTGCTTTAAGCCATTTGGCCTAATGTCTTTACCAACCTTATACACATTTCCGCAACGCTGTGGCCTCTGAGGAACAAAAATTTGACCAATAAGTGTTGATTTTTAAACTCTAAGGTTAAAAATGTTTTTAATGAATTGTTTTTCTTTAAATATTAATTTTAACTATTCTTTTAATGTTTTTAATTAAATTAATATTAATTAATGTTTTTCCTTCTAAATTCGTTTGTTCTAGGGTAACCTCAACTGGCTTTAATTTCCAAATTTTTTAAAGAACATTTACCAACTAAATTTCATCTGCTAGTGGCGCGAGTCCAAAAATTAACAGCATACTAGATTTAAAGATGGCGATTGCGGCGTTAAAGGCAAAATTTCGAATTGACCGTTTATTTGGGGGTGTATGAAGGATATTGTATACTATTAAAGTAAGGAGCTAAGAAAAAAATAACTTTAAAATATAATTGACAATACCTAGAGCATTTGAGCGAGCATATTATGCAATAGCACTAGCAATTATGCCAAATATTGAGAAAGTGATTTGCCTCATCTTGTCAAGAGCTAACGTCAAGTATTTTCGGAACGTTATAATGATCTTTTTAATTTTTTAAACTTTATAATAAAAAAAAAACTCAACCATAATGCTTTTGCACTATATATACATCGAACATAACTTTGACCAGTTCTATATTTCAATCAATGAAACATTCCAGTAGAAACTTAATTACCCAAACATTGAACAAATTGAAAAAGGGGGTGGTCAACAGAATGGCGCAGAAGCTTGAGACTTTCAACTTATGCTGAAAAAGTGGAACAAGATTATAATTTCCAAGGTTTTTCTTTATATCTTTGATATATATATATATATATATATATATATATATATAAAACAAAGATTTAAAATATCTCTGACTAGATATATTGTTCTTAGTGTAGCAGCAATAAGATACTCAGAACAGTTGAGGGAGTTAATGTAACCTCTTAATACTGCTTAATATTGCTGCCGTAGGTCAAAAAAATGCTGACTCAGTGGTGACCATGGTGGCATTAGACATTAGTCTACTTGAAGGACGTTCGGTTCACTCTATATATATATATATTATACATTTTTTAAAATATTAAGTGATGCGCAACTTAAATAAAGACCGGATTGAAGTGTGCAACGTATTTGTAATAGGGGATTTCTAAGCATACTACAGGATATTTTAATATTAGTCAATAAAAACCATTTAAATGATCACGATAGTCATTCTTGTAACTGTTGTATTTTAGACGTAGACTAACGCTACTGCCTGATTATTGTTGGGATGATAATTATAGGGATGATATTGGGTACTTCTGTTAAAAATGTGAGTCCGCCTTTCATTCCAATAACGTGCGAATTAGGTGCTACTTTCATAAACGTGAAATAAGGACTTTTGGACCTATATATATATATATATATATATATGTATAAAATGACCTCTTCGTCCACTGTAAAATCTAAATGTAATAAATGTTGAGCCTGGTACTGCCATTAAGTATTATTTCAGACAGTTAAGACCGCCTCGCATATACCAACGCTTACTAGAAAACGCGTTACCACTGCATCATTAGTTCTAAAACGGGGTAAAATTGTGCGAATGTTGCTCTTATGATTATTATTGTTAATCCAGTTTTATTACTACGACCAATAAGTATTTAAAAATGGCTTAAATTCCTCCAATCGAAAAGGCATTGAGTGGTTGCGTGTTAGAATAAAAAGGAGTAATATGAAATCCTCTCCATATTTTTTATATAAGAACAGCGTTGACGGCCCGCTAAAACCTACTACAGAAAAAGGTGACCATATTTCAAATTAGTGATACATATTTACACTACATTCTGTTAATTCACTTGTGAGTCTTCCAGTCCATAAATATAGATTGAAGAAAAAAAAAGTCCACATTGTTCTTTGCACAATAACGTAGAGACGTGAATCACGTCAGACTACTGAATATTTACATAAAATTTAAGCGATTAGATTATGTGTCCAATTGCAGATTCTGTCCATAAACAACAAGAAATGAGCAGCGTTAGCCAAATGCAAGCCCCAATGGGAGCCGCCACGTCTTCTGGAGGCTCTGAACTTCGTGAGGTTTTGATTGACAAGGCGCGTGAGCTATTCAGTCTATGTGACATTGAGACCAAAGGCTTTATGACCAAACGGTAAGAAATTAAAGGCAAAGGGTTGTCAAAATTATTTTCCAGTATTAGATATAGCGATGCAGTTACAGATTTCTGTAGGCATATTCGGTCCATAGTGATAAAAAATATCAAAATATATTAATCTAAATCGATCAGCTCACCGTTTTTTAACCTAACCGCGTAGAAGCACATGACTAGCGACATAACTAAAGATGTAGGTTAGTGATCAAGAACAGTAAATTCCGGTGGTATGATAGTCAAAAACACTTCAAAGAGGCCGTTGAATCTATAACGAGGCTGTTGACAGGCCTTCGTGCCTTAGAAGTTGCATATGAGGAATGTGGAAAATTTGCCCTCAAAGATCTAAAGCAGTTGTTAGATTTGGCAGTGTGTGTGAACCTTTTGGATCGCCATGTGTAATCAAGCGCGTCAACCATCCAAGTATTTCCAATCCGCAATTAATATACGTTGAGTACTGGTCTTTACGATAGTCCGAAGCTTGATACACATTACAACTTCCAGTTAACGTTACTTAACACAACTTGCCTAAATCTACTTCAGTGCTCTGTTTTAGTTGATTTTTTATATCGAAAATCGAGATTTGCGTTAGCCTTAAGTTGGCCGATTTTGTTTTACAAATGGCCAGTTTTTTATTCTCTAGATAAGAATATTAAATAAAATTCATTAATAACTATATGATAAAAATTAATAAAAGTTATTTTAAAAAGATTGCCCCCTTGATTGCGTACTATTCTTCAACTTACAATGAAACTACATCCTTTGTTGGTCCGAGGCGAATATTGTTAACATTTTTAGTGAACTGTAAGGGCATGAGTTAACATACGTAGGTGTCTCACATTTTACTCGAACATTTCTTGTCACCCGTTAAAGGACTCCCAAATAAACAAGTTGTTTTTGCTTCTAGCTGTACGCGGTGCAAAGATCCGATTTTTCTAAATCGAAAACTTGCTTATAAGGTTTTTAAGTAAATAGTCAGCTTTTCTTTTAGTCTTCCTCGTCACTCTGATGGAAGTGGGTAGGTTCCGCGGAGAGATTACGTATTCAATATGCTCAAATTTAAGGATTACGGCTAAAACCAAAGCAAGTAGCAGAAATTAACATATATATTGGCTGGTAAGGGAATATAGTGACGAGCGATTTTATAATCTTTCTAATGTCGATATAAGAAAAATGACAAAACTGTATTGGAGGTCATTTTACAGGAATTTCTCCATCAAACGTTTAATTCTTGTCGATAACGGTTAATTGTCGTAGCCAGTTAGGTTGTCATGTCCGAAACCCATTGTATATCGCCGTTTGTAATTATCTGAAACTACCCTTTTCTTAGAAACAGATTTGCTATCGGGTTTTTTTAGATTAAGCCAGCGTTTCTAGATAGATATTTGAGAACAAGCAATGAGAATCAGTTGCACCGAGCTTCATATCAACGTTATGTGAAAATACACACCAGAAAGCAAATGATTGAGTTTTATTTAATAATTCTTGTGATTAAACCTGTAAGTGGACAGCAGACACCATCTAAGTGAGAAATAGTTAAGCTTGGAAATGACGTAGGGAATATTTCACTCGGCTTATCTGGTGTAAGGACATTGTATGTAAGCGGTTCGCTATTTCCTAATACCTTTTGCATTGGAGCTACTTAAATACTTGTCGTTTCCGAAGACATGCGGAAAAGCTAAACAACTAACAATGTGCACTTCTCTAAGCGCGCATGTCTCGGAGGCCAGCATGTATTTGAGATCTAAATAGTTGTATTGAACCTTCTTTTACACCAAAACATATGTGGCTTACTATTTGTTGAACTCCGATGACAGCGCGTTCCAAAAGGTGCGACCAACTGGTGAATAAATTTTGTCCCGTACAAATATTAGAATGCTTGTTCCCGATAATTCTACAACGCACAATTAGAACACCCCACGATTTTATTACGTAAAAAAAAACTTATTAAAACATAATATGCAGCGTGTATCTTCACATCTCATGATTCGAAGCTTACAGGAAGGCATATCACTAACTACAAATAAATATAGGTTACCATAAAACGTTTTTCTGTTGAATGCCAACACGGTTATAGGGTCGGGCAACTAAACTGTGTTAAGCCTTGGTGTATTATTTATCATAGCCGGCATGCGATTGTTTGCTATTGTTGGTACTAGAAAGGAGCGGTACTCTATAGAACAAAACAACATAAACATCAGGTTGGAAACAGTGTGTCGTTTTCGAAGCATAACGAAGATCAGTTATTGTCAATGTCTTCGCGCTAAGCAAAGCGTCAACGACATAACAAAATTCTCGGATTATTCCAAATAGAGTGCACCGCGTCTTGAATGATTGTGCGTTTTAGACGAAAGGAAAAAGATGGAAGGAAAGCTCAGCACAGAGAAAAGAAAACAGTGCAGACTCCAGAGTTAACTGAGGGTTAACCTGGTGGTTGAAATGCACCTTTGGCCGGTGTATATCCAGCCATTCTTCTGTTTCAATCAGGTCGTTAGCGAAGACATTTGATGCGAATAGGCATACCACGTGACGGATTGCCCATGAAGACCTCAGCTACATGTCATGTAGTCAAAAAATGCATTCGGAGGCGAATAAAACCTGAAGGAGATTTACTCAGTGTGGTTTGCTTCCAGATTCTTTTGAGGTTAAAACAGCAAATCGTATTCGTCTTTTCTAGAAAAATATTTATTGTCGATGCAAAAAATCAATCACAGAAATGGCCTATTCGAAGGACGTGCCTGCTCTGCGTAAAAGCGCATTTCCGGCCAATGCTGATGTACCGAATGTGGTGTCCAATTAGGAAGATGTCATGCCCTCATACATCTAACAGACAGACAAATGTCTCATTTTATCCTCATTAGAAGTTAATCTGCGTCCTCTACAAACTGTTGTGCAACTAAGGATGCTAAAGTGTCTGAAAGTAAATCATACGTCTCCCAGCAAGGTGATGCGCGGGCCCATAAGAGCCTGTTGGTGCGGAACAGGCTGCTTGTGAATATAGGCATGATTTGGAATTACCACGTACGGCTACCAAAAAGCCGAAATTGAAACCCCTCGGATTATCGTATATGGAGCGCGATGGTGCGGAAGTCTAACAGGTTTCGTTCTTGCGTTACTTGCGTTATTAACAAGGCAATCACGGAGAAAACATGCAGAATGAGTCTGTCTGTATGGGCTTTTGGTCCCGAATAGAAGTTGCAGTTGGTAGTAATTATTGCAGTCAATATATAAACATGAAAGCGAATGTTTATGCCTGTTGGATATGACATCTATAGCACATGCTCAAAATCGTTGTACTATTCGGTTTTGTTTTCAGTCATAGAAACAGTTACTTACAATGCTTAAATGCCCTACAGTGTATGTACTGCGTAAATATAAAACATTTATGTTGCTAACATTTTTATCAGAAAATAGGTGTGAATGCAGACGTTCCCGTTATCCAGTTAACTGGGTATGGGTTGCCGCTCTATCTGAATCCGAATTACTTTGCGAAGTTCTAATCCTTTATTTTTTAAGGAACCCATTTATGGTTAGAACTTCTTCTTGTAAAACAATCAAATTATGATTTAGCAATACCAATGATCGGAACCATTTAATCGCACAAAATGGGAATAAAACCTTTTGCTAATATACGTAGAAATAACAATTTTAGGGTGGTTGAAATTGACGATACAACTTAAAAAGTTATGATTTATTAAATAGATTAACTGATTCAGGTTTACTCGTATGCCCTAACATTAATTAGCAGGGCACAATCCAGACTGTATCGACTAGGGTTAAGTTAAATCTCTTTTCCGACTATTGCTACCTTTAACGTTATATAAGTATAATTAAAAACGAAAATGTTAAAATAACGTTATTGTTACTGTGACAGTTGCATGCGACGACTTAATGGGGAGATTCCGTTAGATCTCGATCAACTGGAAGAGGTCTTTGATCGGCTAGATAGGGACGGAAATGGATTTCTAACGCTCGACGAATTTACCAACGGCTTTGGTACGTGGTAATTTTATGTTATTGTCTACAATTATTCGGCGATTTAATGCCCATTATCATACCTTCTGGCTTTGCTACCAATGGCACCTTTTTACCATTGCTAGCACAAGGCAAAACGAACTGCCTTTATTTCTCCAAACAAATTGTATTGTGATACAAATCAAGATAGTATATGGAGCATTACATCTATTTACCCGCGTTAGAATTTAAGCAGTATGATTAAAAGTGTCGCTCGACGCTTGCCGGACCATATGTTTGTCTCACTACTTAAAATAGAAATCAAAGCAGAGGCGTTACAAATTGTGTCCAATTCGAGAGTAAGAAGCGGCCTTCTCACACGCTGTGCGTTTTGACAAAAAATATTGGCAAAACGAATCGATCGAACCGATGCTGTCCTATAGAGTTCGTCTAAATCAGATTGAGTTTTGGAAAAAATACTTGTATGACGGATATTCGCTTTCAAATCAAGAGAACCAGCACGTTTTTGACATGTAAAGATTTGTGGAGATAGTTGAAGTCAATGCGGTACTTCCGTGCCCGAACTCGATTATATATCGATGATGTCTTGCCTCCTGCGTGCGCTTCGAGTGGCCAGATGGTCGAGCGCCGCCAATATGTTTGCTGTTGTATTTCCAGTGTTATATGACTACATCCACTGTATGATCCGAACGTCCCATTTTCTTTAAACAATAGGTAACAGCTTCTTACTTTCCCGTTGGAAGGCTCGCCAGTTAGTCACCTGACGTCACCGACATATTTGAAAATGATTGGTTCACCCCAGCATTATAATGATAGCTATCTAGGCAGTTTCGGTAGAGTAATTTTATTGTTGTTACTATATATGTAAGCAATAATGTTAGTTAGTATGCATGACTAAGGAAAAACTCTTACCATAAATAGTAACTGCCGCAATGGTCTCTGATATAGCTAAACAACTTCAAATATATCCTCAATTAGAGAGCAAACGTTGAGCAATAATGCTGGGAATGTGACGACACTTGTTCTTATATCCTCATATAATGCTCATTAATGTGCTCTTGATAAATCTTAACAGAACTAGGCCTAGGGAAAGGTAATCAATTTGGTCGATCGAGACACCGATATAACTCATCCTGGGTACCTGTTTGATGCCTATTTTGAGTATGGCATAGCCATCAAAATCGTGATCTTTAACCTCTCTGTACTCCGTAACAGAAGTTTACTAACTCGTAAATGGAGGGCAATGAAAAACTTTATGAGCTTCTTATTGAGTTGGAGTAATTTTCCCATTGTGATTATTGTATAATTTTTGGCAAATTTTACTTCTTTAAGCTGTGCATGTCTTATTTATGCATGTATTTATCTAATCTTAATTATGCGCAAAGTGCTCATATCAGTATTAGCCGATATGGGTCGAGTTAATTTTCCTGTTCTTTGTACCTTTGCTCATTTGACAGAACCAAAATCCCATCCATTTAAATAATATGACGTTGGTGATTATCCAAGTATGCAATATCCGAGTAAAAATCTATCATCTTTCGCTGGATATCAGTTTGATAGTGAATGTTAATAGTATCTACTGCGAATGTAACCATAAGATATCCTAATGTTGACTACAACATAATATAATGAAGCTTTAAGAGGAACCTCAAAAATTTGTTCGAATCAAAAATCGATCGTGGAGTTAGCGGCTATATGTTCCGCTGCAACAGATAGGATTCCGAAGGAACGAGAAGTTTCCGATGTAGATCACCTCTAGAAGCCCTGTAGATATGAAAGAGATACGGGGTAATAATGATAAATTATTGCGCTATTTTAGCTGAAATTCCCTTGAATAAGAATTGTTAGATGTTTTCTCAAAGAAGTGATGTGTGTAACGATCTTTTGAACGTGATTTCGTGTATAAGTTACTATGATTGTACCGCATGCATTTCATTGAGAGGGTTTGCTCGTAATCATGAAACGTATCCAGTTTATTTAATGTTTATTCCCTTAGATCGCCTTTTAAATAATTTTGAAAAAAGGTAGTCTTTGCTATTACGCGGACCTTTTCTGTGCCTAGTATTAACCTTATCTTTTTTAATTATTTCTAGCTGATACGCAGTAATCTTTTCAAACGGGTAAAGTCTTAATATCACCATGCCATACAGTTAGGTTTGATTAACGTTTATGGGCCCTGCCACTTACATTTCATATGCACAGGCAACGCCTTGTGCGAAGGCAATGGTTGTGCTAGTTTCACTGTTGGCAAAAAGTTCAAACTAAAAGGGGTCACAGAAGCGGTTCACTGTTTGACTATTTACATTGAGAAAACTACAACTAGCTCTATTTCAAGACAACAAAATGCCAAAAATATTACTCAGGCAGGAATCGTAACTTTCGTACATACTTCGATGTCTCTTAGCTGATAATTTAATGATGCGTTAACATGCGAGGAAACTGTCTGAAGTCCTTCATTTTTTAACGTGCAATTATATTCTATTGTGTATTTCTACTTTTTGCTTATATCTATTAAGCTGCATTTTCAACATGAGACTCGTCTTCGATTTAAGCTGCCTAAACACCTCAAGGCTATATGATGTCTTATCAAACCTACAAATATTCAACAGCAAACCTCCGACGAGAGTTTGCTACCGTTAGTTCGGTTTAGGAAAACACGTGGAGGACTTTTGCTTGGACGCTTGCGACCTGAACTATTCAAGAGCCGAATATGTTTTCAAAGACACTTTGTGATAAGACACCTGTATCCAATACTGCGAGCCTCTATAGAAATCTTGTGTAGAAACCCTAAATGTATGTAACCTTACTTTTCTGCAGCGTATGGACACCATCGAACGTGTGCTGAAAAATCACCTTGTTGTTGTATTTTAGAGTACCCGAGTACTCAGTTGAATGCGTGAGCAAACAAAGTTGCCGTTAAGCTCTCTTTAAATTTGTACTTTTTTGTACAACATTTTAGATTGCTTGCTACTCGTTACTTCGTGATGGCTAGGATTAGAGTGAGCCAATGAACGTATTGCGCTTTTTGTTATTAAAAACGTCGTAATACACAAGGGCGTTCTGCGGCATCTTACCTATGTTAACAGGCTCGGTTAGAAGATCACCGTATTAGATAGTAACTTTAATTAACCCTGGTTCTAAACTTAGCTGAATGGGGAAATAATCTCTACTCGTCCTAATTTATAATGTCTGATTTCAGCCAATTGCGGTCGCCTTTTTTGGGTTATGTTGCGTACAGTTAGACCTTTAGAGATGGCTAAATCTCACGTCCAAGCTTCATATTACATATCAGGCTGAAAATGCACTCAGTGGTCGTGCCAACCGGTGGCGTCCTCGACGATTGTTTGAATAACGTTGCTTGCTGGTCGATAGCTTAATAGATCGTCGAGCCTGAGGTGCTATAAGCGAATTTCCGAAACTAAACTCAACCAACGAATATTCAAACAGAGCACAAATCGCATCCCTTAGAACGACTTGGAGCTTCTCAAATATTTTCTTTTAAGCAACATCACAGACTGCAAAAAAATGACGTAACAAAGGTTCAATAAAAACACGATGTATACTTATAGAGCAGAGAAAATTACACCAGCATTACGAGCCTTAATCGTAATTTGACAAGTGCCGACGAAGAGGCGTCAAGCTGGCGGTAAAATTTTGGAACAACCTCGCCTTTGTCAGCGCTGATAATTGATTGAATCGGCTAGAAAGTAACTTATTTAATCTTCAACACTATTAGTGTCATCTAAAGCGAAGAAAATGTTGTCGTAGCAGGTATTGTTGATCCTAATGGCTACTTCAGCTTTTGTGTTCTTGTTCGTAGACGGGACTGCTAATAAATAGTTGAGTCAGTATATTTATTTAATTCATATCTAGACTCTATTTTAGATAGGTAGCTTACTTTCCTCTGGCAGGAAGTATGATATATTTCACAAGCATTGGTTATTTATTGTACAATCCGTAGTGGGACTTTTTGAAAAATACCTTATGCTAGTTATAATTACCCTTTCAGTTTAAGCACTAACGAGGAGAATGAAAGGTCACAGAGTCTGCTATCATGCTGAATTAAACATCATAATGCTGTTATATATGCATATATGCTGAATTATAATGCTGAACCAAACAGGTATGGTAGGTAATATATTTTTTTGTACCACTTTAAAATGCTTGTTAATATATTTCACAGTAGTGAACGAATTAATCGGAACAATTTGGAACACTATCAAATTGTTAAAAAGATAGTACCGTTTTTCCTTTACGATTCTCCGTTTGTTCATGGTCAAATGTTCTATGCAGTTGGAAAGCTATTTTTGTTCTACAAGGCTGTCTCGCATGCGACCCCTTCGGTGTTTCTTGTTATTTCAATTTAACATCATTCAGCCCAATAATAACACATAATCTATGTTACAGCATTAAGGGCTGTTTTTGTATTATAGCGTCAACGTTCTTTTCCCGATGGCTCGTTGCGAAAGAACAGGCCTATGCGCGATCTTCTCATATAGTCGTTTTACGTTGAAATGCAAATATGTTGCCGAAAAATAGATTTGAATAATCACTAGTTGCAAAGTAGATTAGTGATGCTGACCTCATCGCAAAATTTGCAGGTATGTTTATGGGTATTGACACTCGTCCAAGAAAAATGTCCTCTTCCCAGGAAGAAATGCTTGAGACCTTTCAGGTTCGTTTACATCTAATGTACGCGTATTACCTGCTAACTTGTTAATTATCTGTTAACAAATGTAAGTATTGGTTGCTCCCCTTTTAAATAGTTTGATCGATCCTTCAAAATCACATCAGTTACTTTGTCCAATCTTTAAATAAAAATCAGTTTTTAATGTAGGAAACGTTGACACAATGATTGCATGAGCAATGTGTTAATTGTTTGTTTTTAAAGATAATGCAACAGTAGCTTGAGGAGTTCAAGTTCATTTAGTGCCAGAAGAAAAAAATTGAAGATGGTTGCTTTACTTAAATACCTTGTCTAACAATAAGCAGAATATATTCAAGCAACTATAACAAGCAAAATTTATCCCATGTGAGGAAAATGCTGTATTATGACGTATTTTTTACAACTTTATGATTTTCAAGTATCTTTCAATCTGGTCAGAAGCTGAAAAAAATTTTTCCACTACGCCCAACACTCAGCCTATATAGCAACACTTCGCAATACGTCATAATCACTTGTTTCTGTTTTGTTTTTGTTATATTGCCATAGAGTCAATCTCCTGCCAGCATCTATCAAGAATTTACGAGTTTAGGTAAACAGTGCCTGTTAATTTCACCCTGGTTATACAATACAAAGATGGTACGGGGTGATCTAGATTAAAATCTTCAAACATCGACGTTAGACCATCGAAGTAGTAAGAAAGATAAAAATAGTTACTTGTAGTTAGGAGATTCTGGGACCTTTCTTTGGAGCTTGAGCTTGGAGTCTCCCCTCTAGTTTGGGAGCCTTCAAAGCATATACTTATTGCTATTATTATATTTCTTTAAAGGAATCTAGGGGCCGCATCCGTCATGTTTCTTTTGTGGAAGAAGTCGATGAAAACGAGGATGTGGACAAACAGTTTGAAGAATTTCTCGACAGATTAGGAGTTCATCAGCTCTTCAAAGAGTGTGTATTAATTGAGAACATTCATTAAACCAGCTTTACTTTGCCTCATCATAAAGCGCCCTGTAACATGTAAAATAGCTTCCGCTATTCTTACAGTTACGGCGTTTACTTACGTACCTTCACCATCAGTCAGATACAATATGTTTGGTTGAGTAGATAACGCTATAGCAAGAATCATGAATAAAAGCTTTAAAACTGTTTTTGAAAAGAATATAATAATAATTGATGAAAATTTAGCATTGAATATTCAAACGACATTTTAAAGCTAACATCAGTATTATCATCATTATTATTATTATTATTATTATAATAAAAACATTCATTCGTCTACGTGGGTTGTTCATTTGAAAAAAACCGAATAATCGATATATCAAAATGTTTGTCGGTTGATAAAAACAATTTAAGTAATGTCAACATGATAAAGCTTCAAATAGTAAAGTACTGAAACAATGCTTTTGCCAGACATATATGCCGATGCTTTCTATCAGTTGTGTACATTTAATATGCCGCCTCAAATGCAGCATGGAGACAGAGATAACGGAATAAAGTGGTACTAGGTCGTCACCGGTGCAGCGGCTATGGCTGTTAAAAAAGTAGTCTATATAGAGCAATATTACGGGCCCGGAAGGCTAATATAATAATACTGAGGTTATCCGTTGAGTTAAACGCCCCGTTAGGTCTGACGTCCCACTTTATGACTGTCATGCAGAAAAGTGCCGGAAAGTATTATAGCACACCAATATCCTATTGTATCTTAGTCAGTACAGACCGTCAGAATTACTAAGGTAAGTTTTTTTGTTGCCTACTAGATTGACTGAGCGATAACCATGCGCTAAACATATTCATAGGTTTAGACAATGCATTGTGCGATTTCGGAGGTAGTAATCTGTAAATGTGTATGTAATTTAACATTTCATTTTAGGTTAGGTTAAACCAATTAGCCTGTATTCGGCGAGATGTTCAAGTGTCCGACCCAGTGCGTCATAGTTCAGTTTTTGTTTGTAAATTTGCCTGTAGAGCCAACGAGCTAACGCGAGTATACGGGTGAGACTATGTACGGTTTAAATAAGAAAATGCCACACCCAAATCAGCAACAAACGAATGTCGAAAACTGCAACGATTAACTACAAGACGATACGTGAAGAAGAGCAAGCTTCAAATCATTTGAACAGTAGCAGATGACAACTGAATGCAGTTATAGCAGTGATTGCATGAGCAAAGAAATAACTGGCGTTAACGGTATAGGAGCGCCACATACTTGACAAGCCCATTGAGCTTCCAGAACTGCTAAAGATACTGTCTGTATATTGTGATACTTTTTTCATCAAAATGCATGAAAACATACTGCTACAAGTGTTGCTTTTTTTCCAGTGAGGACTATGTTAAACTCATGTGGGGTCATTTGCGGACCGAAAATCCTGATATGCTCACCAATTTCGAGGAATTTCTTCTTAAGGTATAGCTAACAATGATATATTTTTTAGAAGAAGTTACAGATATCAGGGAACTCGTTTTACGGAATTCAGAGAGAAACATGCAGGTGCCCGTTGCGCTCCGGTCACTTGTCGCTGCACGGGCTGCCTCTGCTGAGTTAAGTCCTCAAGTAGATGATTCATTCATTGTTTACAAAATACAGTGTTACCGTTAGCGAACGCTACAAACTTTAATGTGTATAATGTATCTACTGGTAATTTACTGGTTTTAACGAAGACGTACAATACTGTTTTCAGGTTACTGGGAACATCAAAAAAACGGAAAAAGAATTTACCAGTCTCGAAAGCGCTCTTATTAAGTAAATTGCACTAGCAAAGCACTCTTTGTTTACATAATAATTTGTATATGAGATAGATATGAAAAACATCCAGTTAGAACATAAAAATAGATATTTTAGACATGAGTTAAATAGCCTAAGCTGTATACTACATTAGAGAAATAGCATCAATTCCTACAAGATTTAAATAATAACATGTGCCCCCAAAATTAGCGGTGCCTATCTTGCTATGCAAGATGAGGCTTCTGGTTTATGGAAAAGCATTCTCAGTAAAATCTTAAACTACAATATGAAAGTAGGCAAATATAGACATGTAATCAGGACCTCTGCTGTAGTCATACGGTAAGTCACTTTAATGGCGAAAAACACTGATGAATAATCATATTCGTACGTTTGATTTTTGTATTTAGTCGAAAACAACAGCAGGACGAGGAGGTTCAAAAATTATATGAGGAAATGGAGATTCAACTGAGGCAAGAAAAGGAACGGACCTTAAACGAGGTTTGTCTTCAAAGTAAAATGTTAAATTGAAACAAGCCTATTTTTATGTGGTAAATACATTATTTGTTTGGAAAAAGTGAGCTCACATTATGTTCACATTAGTTAAGGACCTCATTTCGAAAGACATATGGGATTAGGTATCGGTCAGTAGCTACATAATTTATACCAAGTCATATGAGTGATCACTTATGAAGTCAGGTAAGGTGTGGACGTCGTATGCAGAAGCTGCGTTGGATTACATATTTCACGCACTGGGAATATAAACAGGTTTATTGTATTCAGATGCTTAGCGAGAAGATAACGATTGCTATAAAGACCATGAATATGTGGAAATGTCGAACAAATCGTATTTACTCCTTAGATCTTTTGTGAAGAGTGGAATCGCGTACCGCGTATATATGTACCCCTTGTGTACTCAATTGACAAATCCCAGCATACGACTAAAAAAAAGTAAGCTTTACGCAACTAAAAAGGCAGAGTTGCTCCACAGACACATATAGCCACATGAAAGTTATCCCATATAATGCATAAGACGCACTTGGAGATTACATAGGACGGGCAGTCTTTGTAGATTAGGGCCTTGGGGACTACTGGCGTCTTTATGGGCCACTTCAGACTATGCTTGCTTATCAATTATGCTTCCATTTGATGATAGCACGACTCTGAGGTACATAAACTGGTACAATGGCTCAGGGCGAACTAATACTACTACATGCCTAAATTTGTGGTACTTCACTACATTGTCCCTTGTGTTTTCGCTCTTAACATGAAACTCTTACATAAGTAGGCTTTAAAATATATTAGAAGCCTGCTGAATAAGATCGCTTTGTACTAGAGATTAACAAAATTATCTACTCCGGTCAGGGCTGACGTGGTAACAAAGTTAATATAAACCTGTTTCATTTAAGTCACGTTTTCAAACATGGCCACCCCATAAAAAAATTCACAAGAATATTTTTAACAGGCAGATTACCTACAACAAAATATTTAAAAAAGTCGCAGCCAATAATCCGCACGAAAATAGGCTATTTTTTTTAAACGAAAGGTCAAAGCGTTACAACTTATCAAGTAATCTGGTTTGTGACCCAGGCAGTTAAACGAGCAGGAACAAATGATGCTGAAGCTTCGGCCATAGTAGCAATGCTCTGCGTTAGACATCCTCTGCGCGGAAAAAATTATCCACTTTGCGGTTAGTTCGCTTATATATAATTATGCCCCTGTCTGTAATATTACATATCCCAATTCGGCGCTGTCCTATAAGGGGTTCCACATTGCGACAGTACTGTTAATCGGAGTTCGACAATTTTCTTGATAACCTAATTAGATCGTTGGCCACCACGAGTAAAAGCAGATAAACGTTTAGCCCATGTAACGCATGCCTGGCTATAATTCTCAAACTTGAAATTTACTGAATAGACACCGGTACTGGTAGTACATAATAGTAATAATAATAATAATAATAATAATAGAAGATCATATGATAACGTAGTCATACCCAAGTCCTTTTCAAATTCCCTTATTTGTCGAACATATCGGGGAACGTGCTCAGAATTTTAGACACTGACGTCATGTCCGGAAGAAGGCATAACATTTTACAAAAATTGTATCTCATTTTAAAGCCATTATAGTTGCTCTCCAGAACACTTATACGTCAGGAAGAAATCAGTTTAAAAAATGTTATCAGTATTTGTTCAGGTGTGAAATAAGGTTCAGTAATTGTAGGACTGTATTTACAGAGTTCGTAAATTCCGCCTTTCCTTATAATTACTTATAGTTATATAGTTGAAACTGTTTTAGGCGTAAGTCCTGAAGTGCTTACATATAAAAAAAAAACAAAATTCCGGCCTATCTTTGAATCAAGCGCCTTTTAAGACTATCCTTCCTTTGTACTTGCAGCACATTTGAAAACTATGATTAACACGAAACTATACCCTTTATTTTATAAAAAAAATTACGAAGTACTAACGAAGTGGGGTGGCTGACATTGTCTACACCTTAGATTTTGTCATTATCGTAAAAATGAGTTCTGAACGCTAAAAACATACACTTACGTTTACTTCTAAATGTATACTTTCTAAATATGTAAACCCAGAGGAAATAGTCTGAGAAAAATAAGTACATACATTAGGCGACCCGAACACCTGCAAAATATGTATGATCGTGACCACAACAATACTGTTGATAATCGTTATCCTGTAAAATTATTCTACCGATATACATAAACACAAATGTCTCTATTATCCTATGGCAGAATAAACTTGTATTTACCTTAACTGGCTCGACAATTATTAAATAAAGCAAGGATTGCCTTCCTCGCTGCATGGTTACTAAGAGATTGACTTAAATTTGGAATTTTTTTAATGATCACGCTTATTTAAGTATACGTTATGTGTCATTAAATTTAAATAGATACTCTCTCTGAGGCAGTTAAGACTTCGAGAGTCACTCGGCACTGCTATCTCTTCAATTCTCTTAAAAACTAATAAGTTTCAATTGCTTTATGGTAATTTATCTTTTACCATACCATGCCAACCGCAGAAATGATCGCTGGTGTGTTCACGACGTGGAAAAGATGCCCATTATGGATAAAAGCCGATTCCTGCAGATGTTCTTGTTTTGAGCCAATGTCCAATAAAAGAAATATAGTTGCCGTCGCACTTTTCCGGATAACCCGTCAACAGATAAAGTTATCTTTGTATTCTACAAAGTTTTGTACAACCGTGGGCAGATGAAGTGTCTGAAGAAAATACGTTGTACAGCAGAGTGATTCATCGATTCGTACCAGCCAGTTTGTAAAGGATTAGCTTTTTGATGATCTAACTAAGCACATATGCCTTACTGACAGGCCAAATTTAAGTCCGCCTGATCGCTGATGATGGAACACTATTGAGTGAGAATTCAATAAATCTAAACAACGTCGATTCGGTCACTCGCATTATCAAACAAATGCTCGTACGATTGTAATGGAGAAAACTGAGATGAATTTGTGATAGATTCGGATCTCAACTTGAAACTATAAATGGAATGAGCGTAGGTTGTATCGAAGAAACATGACCAGAAGGACTGCTATTTTTAGCACACATAAAACATTTTGTTAAAATGCCTGCTACAATTTTAGAAATAAATCTTAAGCAGAATTCTAACTTCAAGACGATGTTCCTATGTACTCAGAATAAATTAAATATTTAGTAGCTGCGTTTTGAATGTGCCCCCTACCATATTTTATTAATTAGAAGCTTTGCGTGCACACTCGAAATGCTATGGGCATCTCTGGCAAGCCTCTCTGGAATATGGTTTGTCCTACTATTGAGTATAGTACGCGTCGGTATTTTAAGGTGTAAACTATTAAACTCGAGTTACTTGTTTTGTAAGGAACGTAAACGACAGGATCGCTTACAATCAGAGCTGGCTACGGAACTTTCGAACAAGGACTTTATTCTGCAAGATCTCATGTCAAAGCATTCGCAACTGGAACAACGGTTCAAGCAAATTAATAGCCAGGATACAGACATTAGAATAAAGAATGCCAAGCTCGAAAAGGTATGCTCCAGCTAGATGCGCGAGTGATAGTAACTTATATCAAACTAAAATCATTCGAAGCGATTAAAGAGCCATAAATATTTCGCAAATATTTAGTTATTCCAATTTGTTGTTTCTTCTTTCATAACTAGGAGCGCGACACGTTGAAAAAAAAGCTGAACGAGACTGAAGCAATTGTTCAAAAGATGCAGTCTTATATGGTAAGCCTGCGACAACAGAGCCTTGACGAAAAACGCGCAAGAGCCCAGTAAGTTAAAAATTATAAACTAAAATGAGTGTTTTTTTATTTCTTCACCATTTTTACATATATTCCTTTTTCTATATACACGGTTTCATCAATTAAAATTTATATTAAACTTATCGATCACGATTCATAGACTAGTTGGTCTGTTTATATATATATATATATATATATATATATATAAATGATATTTCAGTAACCTAAATAAAAGTAGCATTTTTTTCATAGGTCAGCTCTACAAGCCACTGAAGCCATGGTCCTGGAGAGGGAGCAAATGATCAAACAGCTTGAGATCTTGAGGTAAGTTAACGACTTACATAATGTTAATAACGTTTATTATTAACTGCTAATTTGGATCTAATTAAAAAGGTGGATTAGCTTAACATCTAGTATGCGTAGCATAAATAAAATTACTTTCCCTCTAGCGCACTAATGGGAAACAAATAAATGTTTCTCACAGAATACTTAGGTCAGTTTTGTTGGCTCAAGCAATACGAGCATGAGTTTTAATGTCAGCCTTAAATGCCAGCTGTTGATCGTAAAGATGACGTTGGAAATTATAGTTATTACATTATAAAATCGTTAAGCCTCTAAACTGTGCTCCGTTATACTGTAGTATATTTAATTCAATTCTGTTTGTTCAGTACTAAATGTGGCTTATTGCAATATCTATAGATTTTGCTCAATTTACTAATATGTAGAAATAATGTATCTGTTTGTTTTAGAACAATGAATAAACAGCTGTTGGATCAAAAGGACGAAATCAACTCTCTGTTGCAACAGCACCAAGTACGGTGACGTACTTTATACGTAAACCTCTTACTAATTATTAGGTATAGACAAAACATGTATGCATATAGTGTCAAAATTCTATAATGAACATTAGGACGCACCTTGTTACAGATAATCTTGGTCACGGGCTCTAGTTAATATTTTTATTCTAGATCTAAGGTAGTTTCATCAGCTGAGATTCGGCATCAGCTTTTTCAGAATCTCTATTCTTTTATTCTATA